TCTCTCCCTTCCCTTTATCCTCTCTCTCCCTTCCTTCCCTTTATCCTCTCTCTCCCTTTCTTCCCTTTATCCTCTCTCTCCCTTCCTTCCCTTTCTCCTCTCTCTCCCTTCCTTCCCTTTCTCCTCTCTCCCCCTTCCCCTCCTCATCTCTCCCTTCCATTTCTCCTCCTCATCTATTCCTTCCTTTTCTTCCTCCTCCTTTTCTCCTTCCTTCCTGCCTACTTCCTCTTCCTGGTCGCTGTGTGGAAAATGAACCCATAAAGATATTGTAGTGTGTTGTGGTGTCCAGCCTGGCCCCGTGTGTCCAGCCTGGCCCCGTGTGTCTAGCCTGGCCCCGTGTGTCTAGCCTGGCCCCGTGTGTCTAGCCTGGCCCCGTGTGTCCAGCCTGGCCCCGTGTGTCCAGCCTGGCCCCGTGTGTCCAGCCTGGCCCCGTGTGTGCCTGGCCCCGTGTGTCTAGCCTGGCCCCCGTGTGTCTAGCCTGGCCCCGTGTGTCTAGCCTGGCCCGTGTGTCTGCCTGGCCCGATTGTGTCTAGCCTGGCCCCGTGTGTAGCCCTGGCCGTGGCCCGTGTCCAGCCTGGCCCCGTGTCCAGCCTGGCCCGTGTGTCCAGCCTGTTGGTGTCAGCCTGGCCCCAGCCCGTGTGTCCAGCCTGGCCCGCGTGTCTAGCCTGGCCCCGCGTGTCTAGCCTGGCCCCGCGTGTCTAGCCTGGCCCCGCGTGTCTAGCCTGGCCCCGCGTGTCTAGCCTGGCCCCGCGTGTCTAGCCTGGCCCCGCGTGTCCAGCCTGGCCCCGTGTGTCCAGCCTGGCCCCGTGTGTGTCTCTAATAATTTCATCTGTGGTGTAAAATGTTGGTAAGGGAAGGTAGGTAAGTGGGTAGGTATGTAGAGCCAGAGTGATGGGCAGGGAGAGTGTAGGGTCATGCAGGAAAGTCTCTAGATTGATTAGTATGATGTTAAAACACCTGGTGCACGCGGGAGGTATTACAGCAACCCTCCCTGTCGTTGCGTCAACATGCCTCACCAACAGTAGATTGTATACCTGAGGCCAATGTTTGTTGGGACGTAATTTCATAACTGTGTAAAACTTGAGTTGCTCGTTGATAAAGGTAAGGAGTCGGTGAGCGGTGTCAGCTTGTCAAGAATCGTAAGGTATCGCATCGTCAACATAATGTCACTGTACTGCTGCTTGCTCTCAGTATCTTTATCAACGAATTATGTTTTTTTTTTATGTGAAATATGAGGGTTGTGCTGTGTACCTTCTCCTAGCGTGGGGAGCATAAATGTTGTGTGGGCGTACTAACCAGGGCGTGAGAATGTGTGGTGGTGTAGGGCCTGCTGGCGTGGACACCTTGACAGGGAGGTTCTCCAGGGCGGCGGCTGCCAGCTGACGAGTGCGCCTGACAAGTCTGGGGACTCCGTGGCCTTGCTGGGAACATTGGTTGGGGGGTTTGTTTAATAAATAGAATTAAGTTCATCATTATAAGTGGGTGCATGTAAAGTTTAAGTGTTGTTTTTACTGTTAAGTCGTTTTGCTTTTTTAATACGTATGTGAGGCTCTTAAGTGTATAAGTAAGGTTTTGGGTGCTGGTAGTCTGGTGGTGATGTGGAATGGTTGTTGGTGTTATTATTAGAACTGTGTAATAAGGAAGGCTTTGTGTAGTAATTCATCAGCGGAGGCCAGTAAGGAAGATGTCGGGTTGTGTGAGACTTAAGGGGGTCGAGGCGTGAGAAGCGTTACCAAGGAGGAAGTGAGAGCAGTAGTGATGGTGACGTCAGTGATAGTGAGGTGATATGGTAGTGACGGTGGTGACGGTAGTGATGTTAAAGGTTGTCAAGGAGTGTGTGTAGTGATAATTGTGATGGTAACAGTAAGAGGGGTGTTATTGGTGTTGGTAACAGTAAGAGGAGTGTTATTGGTGATGGTGACAGTAAGAGGAGTGTTATTGGTGATGGTGGAAGGTTGTGAAGCAGGAAATGCAGTAAGGGCAGTAGTGTTGTGGGAGGGGAGGCGGCGTGCAGCACAAGGGGGTAGGGTGCGTCGTGTGCATGACCGCCCGGGGCTCAGCCCATCACTGACACACTCATCATTTCCTGTTCTCCCGCGCCTCACCAACACCGGTAGTCCGCTGCCCAGAGGCCTCGTCCTAGTGCGTCCGGCCCGCCCGCCCGCCCTCCCTCTTATCATCCTGCGTCCTACACGTAGACCTAACCTCACGTAGTTCAGATCCCCGTGGCGTGGCCTCCCAGGTGATCACTCACGTCAGGCAGTATCACCAGTAACTATACCCGTGACCCTGGTGACCACAACGTCCTGTACCCCCACACTCCACCAACCTCCGTTATGCTGTATACCCCCTCCCCCCCCATGACCCCAAGGTATTAATTTCTACTCCCCCTCGAGAAGTTGGTGTACCAGGCTACGTACTGAGAGTAAAAGTGAGTGAGAGTGAGTTTGTGGTGGTGAGTGAGGGTTAGGAGGGCCGCCGGCACCACACCTGACAATACCTCCTCCCGGTGTCGTCCTCTCTCCTGCCCGGCCCGTGTCATCCACTGCTCTGCTCCTCCCTCGCGTTAATTACTCCTAGTACTGCACCTCACAGCTAACTGTAATGATTACCAAAGTACCCGGGGAGTGGATTGTACCCTCGTGGGTTTGTGTAGGAACGTGTTCTAGTTGTTTATAACTTATGCGCCGCCTAGGACTTTTAATGCATTTCCTATTGGAAGAACTCCAGGCATTGGAGCATTTCTGGGTAAGACGTTCAGCTTCCACTAGGACTTTCTAGTGTTGGTATGTCTTAATTAAGTTTGAGTTGGCCACGGGGATGTACTGTAATGCTACGAGTAAAATATGACCAGGGTGACTTGTGGATTTCTGAGTAGCAAGAGGGACACTTTGGATGTTTGTGTGGCCAAGGAGAAACGTACGAGAATTTGTTGTGGCCACGGGAACCTTTCTTGAGTTTAATGAGACCAGGGGAACCTTCCAGAAGTTTAATGGGCCCAGTGGAACCTTCCAGGAGTTTATTGAGGCCAGGGGAACCTTCCAGGAGTTTAATGAGGCTGGGTGGAACCTTCTAGAAGTTTAATAGGGTGGGGAAATCTTTTGGAGTTTGGTATTTGGGAATTTAATCCGTGTTTGTTGCATTATGACAAAGATACCTCAGGATGTTTGTACTTGTAGCATAGCACGTCACCCACGCACTTGTCTTCAAGAAGTATTCAGCCAATTATAACTAGAAGGTGGCGTGACTAGTGGTGGGATTAAGACCAGCTCCTCCCTGTCAGGTCCCCCAGGGAAGTAAGAGACAGTGAAAGCGGCTCCATCGTGCCTCTTATTGTCAGGGTTTTTGTGCCTTTCCGTGGTTTGAGGAGGCTCTCTCTCATGAAGGTTTGAGAAATATACCAGTGGTTTTGGGCTGAGCTGTTGTGGTGGTCATGACAGCTGTGGTTGGTGCCGTGATGGTTATGAGAAGACATTTGATGGTTATGGTTGGATTCTAAATGATTATGAGAATGATCCTGTGGGTGGTGGTTATGTTTGGTATTATGGTGGTTGGCTATAAGGAAGATGGTGATGGTGCTTACGTTGAGGAATCTGGTGGCAATGAGAGAAATTATGGAGGGTACAGTATTGGATAAGTCCATCCTATTTGTGTCAAGAATGGCTGCTGTGTCAAAAGTTATATAGTACTGTAATTAATTTATTTGTTTATAATAGAATATGTGGATTATTTAAGAGATATTATAGTGTTGTTTGGGAAAGATCATGGAAGGTGTGGATGGATTTAAGTGTATAAGTTTAGGGTGAAAGTCATCCTGGTTAGTTTGAGAGCAGAAGAAAATAATAATAGTTTTTAAGTGTCATGAATCTGAGTGGTGGTGGTTGGGGGGGGGGGTATTAGTAGAGATATTAATGGGTAAAGTTTAAGGTGGGAGGGCCAAGAGAAGGCAGAAACTGGGATTGATGATTAAAATTAAAAGCTGCTGTTCCCTGAGAGATACAAAATCTGTGAGAATTGGTAAAGACAATCCCGAAATATTTGGAATGGAGAGCTATGATTACCAACCCTCAGACCTGAAGATGACCTTGATTGATGATTTTTGGTGCGGTTATGTTGGTGTGACAAGACTGTGTGGTACAGTAATTATAAGTGGTTGATTTTGGTATACTGTAGTGATAATGAAGTTAATGCAGCAGAGATATAATTTAGATACAGGTAATGTATATTCTTTGATTATTATCAATGTTTAGTTTTCTCATAAAATTAAATTAAATGAAGAGGATTGGATACAGTCTACTTTTGTGAAGAAGCCGTGTTCTATATCTGAGGGAATAACTGACTTCTGCCACCGAGGTCCTCCACTGATCAGTCTTTATGGTTGAGTTCTGTAATACAGTACTTCCACTTTTTTTTATTTTTGTGCAAGTCTTTATGTGCAAAAGGCTTTAGGATTTTGTGGGGTGTGTAAAATGTAACCCAATTTTTTTTGGGTGTACTGTACTGTTTTAAATTTCATATTTTTTATGTGATTTAATTTTATGAACATGTGGTAATTCAAGAAAAAATTCATAAGGAATGTATTAGTGTGATCAATGAAAGGAAAAGAGTAGCAAGTAAACATATGTTAATTGAGCTTTAATACCATATATTTAGCCATCACATTGTCAGAAATACTGTATTTCTTGGCCCTTATAGAAACTGAGGACCCATGTTTTAAATTACCATCATAGAACCATCCACTTTAAGGCAGTTCCAGAACATTTCTCTCTCTTGACCTGAGTTGTAGGCTAATAGCTTACTGTACATGCTTCTACAGATAGGCATCTCCAGAGGTGCCAAGACCTCTTGACTTTTCTTAAGACTGAAGCTCACGTTTTATGTTCTGGCATGTTATACAGTTAATTATTCATGTACCGGTATTCATACTTCAGAAAGAAACTAGTTTTAAGTGAATGTGGTGCCTTTGTGATTTTTCTAATGCCCTCCCATTTTTTTTCCAGCCATAGTTGATAGAAATTTGAAGACAATATCTTCCCTGAAAGTTGAATTTGACCAGGCCCTCTCTCCCAGTGAAGACAGTCCATCACACCTTCACCTCAGTGAACAGCATAGAAAATTTAGTTGAAAATTTATTAGTAACTATTTTTGGAAAATCAGATACCATCCAGTGTTGGCAACAGTGAGGGCATTTTTTGCTACTGACTGACTCTAAACAATGGTTAAAATTGACTCGTCTTCATGTGGACAGCACTGAAGACCCACCACCTTGGAATCACCGTAATATTAGTGAAGATCATCTACATCATCGTTGGGACACTCTGCAGAGGCCTGCTGTTGCACTGCATGACATGTCCATGCATTCTGTCCTTAATCTGATAACACACTGACCTAGTATCTCACCAGGCTAGCAGTGAATATCCATACAGTAACTGTTAATCTTAAGATCAGTATAGCCACTACAAGTGTTGTCAGCAATATCCTACTTATCAGCTGAAGCTTTTTGTGATTTATAATTGTTGCAATATGCAAATCAAGATGTATAGTGTAGCAAAACAACATCTGAAATGCGCGTGGTTTAAGGTTCGAGACCGTTTCTTGTGGGTTTTGAAAAGTGCTTGTTTGCTTGACTTCTGGAAACACAACTTATATATGAATTGCTGAAATTGTGTGAAACTGATTCACACATGTAAGTTACAGTGCAGTATTTTGAGCAAGGTTCTGTTGACTAACTGGTGTACAGCATTTCAATGATCAGCTAGTGTTCAGTGACGTCTGACCTGGCTCGAGGGACCTTGTAGGAGTTTGGTGTTCTGTGACCTGTGGCTCTCATGAGACCTATAGAGAGACTGGCCTTACACAGGGAGTAGAGCAGTCCACCAAGAATGTGATTATGCGCTTCCCCTCATGCTCTGTAAATACATCATGCGCTAGTAACACAGCTTAAGTTTGGATGCAATAGTCTGTTTCTTCTTGATAAGTTTGTTGTAATAATATCCAATGTATATATTATTGCCCAGCACAAAGGGATTTTAGATTTCATTGCCTCCACAATCCCACCAGAATTTCATTGCCTGTTTAGGTTTTAACATATGTATTATAATTAAAAACTTATTTTAAACTTTTCTTGAATCAGAATAAACTTTACATATTGAATTTATATTCTAAAGTAGCTTTTTGGTTTTCATTTTATTTGTACATTGCTTTGATAGAGATACAGGTAATAGCAATATTTGCCAGTAGCACACATTACATATCTGTTGGTGTAAAAGATGTGAAGCTGGAAGTGAAATCCCTTTTTAAGATGCTGATGTGTATTTTACAATGAAATACTTTTTATCATGGTGCAGTGCTAATGACACAATGGTAGTGAGACAGATTTCAGAGAAGTGATATATACCAAAGCTCTGTTGAAAAATGAGAATTTATCTCAACAAGCAAACTTTGCTCTATGTGTAGATTTTAATCGCAAACTGTATGAATATTGTGTTGCTTGTATAAGAATGTTCAGCCTCCTCTTTGGTGAAGCACAAGTTCATGTAATTTGTTTTTACCTTGTAGCTTCTTGTTTGTGTTTGATTTTAGTGTATATCTTCATGTGGACTTTCATATGCGAGTCCTTTCAGTTTGGTCCACCCATAATGTTCAGTTCAAGGTACCTACGGTACCTCATCCTAATCTCTCTCTTGCTCAGAGCAACATTAAATGAACTGGAGTGGTATAAATAGCACCCTGGTCTCACTTTCTTTTAGGAAGGGAATGTATGTGTTACCCTCTGGTACCACTTATTTATCCTAACTTTACTGTGCTACATTCAACTTGCCTCTTTTGTGTTGAAATAGGTTTTTAAAAGTCACATTACTTTTATGGTCTCATAATCCCAAACTCAATTACTGTAGTATTATTTCCTTTATCTTGCATTTTCTCTTCTTGTGTAATTGTTGTTTACAAAGATGAGAAAATGAAATTTGAGCAAACCTATACATCATGTTAGGCTCCTTTGTTATTAAAAAAAAAATAGGCCAGGTGGCCAGGTTATAGGGCAACATTTTCCTGGCGAATATCTTGATGATACAGGAATTGGTGTCTGCATGGTGGTGGATCTAACAGAATAAATCCTTTGTGCTGTAATTCTAATAGATAAGAGGAACAGTCGGCACATATCCTACTATAGATCCCCTTATCTTAAAATGTCCTCTATACTCTTTAAAAAATCTCTTGACCACATTGTTAACCCCAAGAGGGTAACAGCACATTGCTCTATTATCTAGCGTTTACACCATCATGTGTTGTGTGTGTAATGCTCATATCATTTGAATTATAACCTATTCGAATGAATGTATAATTAATTTGTTATAAAATAAATGTATTTTTAAATATGTTGAATACCTATTGCATTTTATTTTACCTCCTTTGTTTCAGGTTGGAGGAAGAGCAATAATAACACATCATTATATTGATAATTATGTACTGTACTGTATTGTAAACAATACTCTAATGTCAAAATTGCCAACTGTTTGAGTGTAGGCAACTGCAATATTTTACAATATCTGAGATTTGGCATTTTTATTTGCCAACAACCATTATATAATAATTATGACATTTACCTCTACTTGTGTAGAGAATTAGTTTGTATCCATACAAAATACTGTAGTTCAGAAGTATAGTACAATCTATACACTGTACTGTAGTGTCCAGACAATGCCATTAAATATATATTGCACATAATCTAATATTCATTTTCAATATTTATATTGTAAGTGTACAGATTCACTTTCCTCATAAGGAACTAAATACATGTACTGTATGAGGTTTCTAGAATAGAAGTGAAGAACTCATTAAGACCCCAGGTTGAGATAATCACATTAATTTTTTTTACCTGTTTCTATGCATAATTTTGTTATTTGTTGATTATTTATTTTTTCATAATGATTATAGGGTTTTACTAAGGACTGTTTATGCAGAAATATTAAAAAGTAAATACATTAAAAAAAATTGGAGAGGGGTGCACCATAATTCTGCAATGTTAGTATAATAATATAATAATGTACTTACAGGCATGTGTAAGACTTCAGTGCTTGCCTGATGTGGGGCTGAGGGTGTGGTTTGAGCAAACCATAATTGGGAGCCAACTGCTCCTTGTCAACAATTGCAGTTTCACCTCCATTTTACTGCAGGCTGATGAGGTCTTCGAAGTACTGTTTGTATTGCACTGGAACATATGACAAGAGGGACCTCTGAGCAGGTACCTTCTCAGCTGTAATTTTGACAGGCATATCGTACTTTAGGAGCCGGGTTGACCTGAGCGAGATTGAAGATACCAGTGTTGTAGCTCTTGAGACCTGCCTTTCTATAACTTGATCCTATAGGAACTTCATTATCAGCACAACTCATCCTTGGAACAAGACATTAATCCAATGCAGAAAAATCCATGAAAACACAGCAGAAATTTGTTGCTCAAAGGTGAGGGTATATTTTTGTTTAACAAATTAATTGACAAAGCTTGGGGTACAGTTTGCCTATTCTGAGTAATTCAGTCAGGTCTTGACACTGAGGGTGGTATTACTTCTCACTGCCACACAGGACAGAGGTTCATACACAAAGGAATAGATCTTATTCATGAACAGTATATATAAGTCAGAGTCATGTGGGTGATTTCACCGAGTTCTTGTGAGAGATTGGCTACTGGAGTCACATGGGGTTAAAGCAAGCCACCCATTGGCTGTGACATCACCACTGCACAGCTACACTTCATTGTATCTATTCTGATATGTTAGTGGAGTTTCCTTGTAGTGCAGGGGTATAAACACAATAACGACAGGACAGAGAGTCAGTTTGACAAACTATAATACAGTATACAGATTGACGCCCGGAATTTTAATCAACATCTACAGGTTGACAATCCCTTATCCGAAATCCTTGGGACCAGATACATTTCGGTTTTTGGAATTTTTTGGTTTTCAGAATGGTTATTTTTTTTTTTTTATATAGGGATCAGCCCACCCGGGCACAGGTCACTGACCCACATTGGGGCCTGGGGGCTAAAATATAATAATAATAATAATTGTAATAATAATAATAATAATAATTCATAGGTCTAGGTCGTGTTTCTCACTTTTGATCTTTTTTCATTCTTGTATGTCTTTATTATTATTATTATTACAGTATTATTGTTATTATTATTATTATTTTTATCATTCTTATTTTATTTTTGTTTATTTTTTATTAAAAATCTTATTTACTATGAATAATTATTATTATTACTGTATTATCATTATTATTATTATTATTATAATTATTATTACTATTATATTTTCACCCCCCAGGCCCCGATGTGGCTCAGTGACCTGTGCCCGGGTGGGCTAAAAAAAAAATAAAAATATTGCTCCACAAATTTTTTTCTTCGGTTTTTGGAATTTCGGATAAAGGGTTGTCAACCTGTATCGTTGACCAGGGTCGTCATGTCAACAACCATAGTTTTAAACACAAAGGACCCGCACTACAGTGCATGACGGAGAGGGACGGTGGAAAAACAAACTACATAATAATATTGGAATTTTAAGGTGTGACTTGTAGCTGATCTTCATAATTGTTTTGTTTCTTTCATTGGATATTTATAGTAAATATGATTTATGAACAAAGAAAAACATAATGGTAATTTCACACTTTTTTTTTTACATTAGTGTTTTTACAGCCAATATGAAATTTTAAAAGGGACTTGTTTTTGTTTTGCTGCTAAGTGCAAGCTTGTTCTGCTGCTGGAGTCATCTCATTTTACCAATGCTGGTACTAATCAGGTCAACACATTCAAGAAATTTATTCAACATTTTAGCAGTTTTGTGAATTTTTTCAGGAAAATATAAGTGGGCGATTTTCTGGGCTACAAATCTTAAAATGGATAGAACCAAATAATACTGGCAAGACATCGTCACTAAACTTTATGCGACATATATTAACCCCTAGGCATCAGGTCACATCCTGTGACGTATGTTTTGATCTTTCGTGGATCTAATTGAATAAAAGGGGTGAGCCTGGCTAGATTTTGTTGTCAAGTAGGTATTTATCTTTCACTCACTCACATGAGAGCCTCCCAGTCTTTTCTCAGTAGCTTTTCAGCTTTTGTGATGTAGGCATCTCACCCTTTGACTTGACTCACTTCACCATGTGTTTCTACTCCCAAGCGCAAGTCTAGTCAGTATTGTGATCAATTACTGGAGCAGTAATAATTATTGTAAATAGTGTAAATAGTAATAACATAGTAAAGCAGGTGTCCTGTACCTCATACTGCCTACAAATTAGTGTTGTTTACCATGTTATTACTGCATCACACACACACACACACCACTTCATGAACATTCTCAACAATTCCTAGCCCCAGTGTTGCCAACCTGTGGTAAGGACATTTATTTATTTCCTGTTTATATCATGTATAGCCCAGGGGTTAATAAAACAAGTACATACAGTATATGATAAATAATTCAAATTTTTTAGCAGTTTTGTAAGTTGAGTTTTTGTTTGGAAAATATAATTTTTTCATGTGCAATTAATGGCACTAAAAGCTCCTATCTTGATGATCGGCCCTGTACAGTCATGAATTTGACTCCAATGTTTGTCACCTCCAGCATACCAACCACACGAGTATGACGACCTATAATGCATCAGCGAAGGTAGACAGGCTTACCAGCCCAATGCTCGATGGTTCCGCACAGAGGGGAAGAGGTTTGGGCGATTAAAATTACCACGTGAAGGAACGACTCCTACCTGCGAGTTCTTCGCCGAAGAGGGAAGGAGGGTCAGTAAAACTCTGGGCATGAAACTTGAAGCCCACAGCTCGGCAGAAGAGCATCCACCTCACAGATATGATCATGGGTTCGATTCTTGACTGCAGTCAAAGATCAAGTTCAGTCCTTGCACATAGTCCTTGTGCATATCATAAAATGAATTTCCCATTTGCTGATGGTGATACAACTTGTCAGTTGTGTTGAAAGCTAAGAATGAGGGGATAAGCTCCTGTCTGGCTACTTCATTACAATAGGAAAAAGTTTATATGCATGAATAAAATATGGCACTACGGTATCTGATAAATGTGCTCTGTATAACATTCAATTCACAGGTGAATGATCACAGAGTGAAGGATACTGTATCCTCTTCATATGCTTACCTTTGTGCATTAAGCAATAAATATGTACAGTATACTATTGGGGCCGCTTATCAATAGTGGAATAGGAAGTCCCCGGATTACTTACGTCCGACTTCCGAACATCTGCCAATACGAATGAAGTCCCACCCAGGCACACTAGACAACACACTATGCTTCCAATATCTTCCCAGGCAGCAGTACCTCCCTGTTTGATAGCTGCTTACTACCTTTTCCTGTTGACTTATTTGTTACTTTCATTTTCTATATTTTGTCATTCTATTTTTTCTTTTCTCTTAAATTAAGTGATTTTAGATGTATATAAGGACTTAGGCTATGATATACAGGCAGTTCCCGACTTACGGCGTGGTTAGGGACCCAAATCCAAGTCGTAAGTAGAATTGGTCGTAATTCGAGAATGCGAAAATATTACATAGAAAATCTAAAATGGGTGTCTCTTTTTCTTCTCAGCACCACAAAACTCTCACTTTTAAGCTTGCCAGCCATTTTAAAGGGAATTACAAACAAATTTTGTCAGTACATAGCACAATCACTGCGTTGGGACTCGAAAATATGTAATTTGGAAAAAAAAATTTACGACTGCGGCTGTCGTATGTCCGGGTGGTCGTAAGTCGAGGAGTACCTGTAGTGGAATTTTAAACATTGTTCTGTATGATATGTACAGTAGCTAAAACAACTATCTGTGCAGGTGGGGGTCGATATGCTCCAAAATTTTACGTGTGACTAGTGACAGCCCTCAAAAACCAAAATTTATCGTCCATGGTCTCAAATTGTTTCCCACAAAGTATGCACCGATAGTTGCTTTAGCTACTGTACATAGGGTATGTGTTTCGACTGCAGAACTTCCGTAGGAACGAAACTCATACGTAAACTGGGGACTAACATCTTGCCAAGGGGGTGGGGTATTCCAACTAGCACTAGCTGGCAAATGCTAAGAATTGGGGAATTAGCAGTTAGCACTTGTCCATCCACCCTACATCATAACAGGAAAAGTTTGTATGTGTGTACAAGTGTTGTAAATATATAGTCCGAGTGATGTTCCTTTTTACCTGATTTTTATTTTATTTTTTTTAATACTGTACTGTACTATACACTAATTTGACATTGTTGAGAGCTCTGGGTCAAATGAATTATTCTGACATCAAAATTCCTACACAATTTGGATTTCTGCTACAACTCCTCTCACAATTCAAAAGAAGTTTGTGATCTTTATGGAATATATGTTTTGATAATGCTGGGAAGCCTAGCATGATAAAAACCTAGCACTGTATACTCTAAAGATTTACTTAACTTTAAATGTAATATTAATATGAAAAGTGCAAAAATAGTCATTTACCTGTTAATTGTTGCCTTGTATTGGAGTTAATATTTCTGCTATAATCTGTTCATCCCTAATTATATGACCATGTCCAAGTTGTTAAGGGCATGAGATGAAATTAATGAGAATGGATACCCCAAACTTTTCCTCATAAAAAGACTATTTAATAGGGAGTAGAAAAAGTTGGGAATGAGCTATGGGGGGTAGAAGTTGTTCATACATCACTAGTAAAGGACCAGGTCATCATGGAGAAATAATAATGGGCAAAGTTAAGGGGAGGAGGGCTATGGGATATATCTAGTCCTACAAACTGTTGTTCATTACTTATTGTTCTATATGTTTGGTGTCATTTGTTTCTGTTTGGTACAAAACAATGAAATAATGAAAAGGTTTCATTTGTCTTTTGATATTCCAGATATTTAACATTATTGTAGAACATAACAGGTCTGCTTACCAAGTGTGAAAACATTTAGTTTGTATAAATGGACAACTACACTAACAATTTCCATGAACCAATCAGCTATTTGTAGCTATAAACTAGGGGTGTGGCTCAAGTAAATGGTACAGTATAGCGCTATGGCCCCTAAGTGTGCAAGAGGTCCCTATAGAAGATGAATTACACAAGAAGAGGTCAGAGAAGTTATTATTACTGGAATCAATGCTGGAGATTTTAATTAGAAAAAAAGTGTGAGATTGCCACAGCTTTTGGTCAATCAATCCACTGAAACATTTGAGATGTTCAGAAAAAATCACTGGAAAACTTCAGTGATATGTCAGACCATGTAAGAAATCCTTTAATAGGAGAGATGGATAAAATACTAACTACTGATACAAGATAAAAATCAAAACTTATGGCCACATAGTTCTTATATTGTTCATCAGGAAGCCTAGAAAATTGAAGACTTTTTATGCCAAAAACAGTGAATTTTCATTTGAATGTTTTCAGGAAAGACTGGGATGATTCAATAGGTTCAGCCCTGTCAGCCAAAAGCTTGATATACAGGTATCCCTCTACCCCCTGGTCTAAGGGTACTGGATTGTATGTTTTGATTTTCAATTTTAATATTGGTACTGTATTGGAGTTGGTTCTTTTTATCATTATATTTATTGATAATTTGTTGTTGTACAAATAATTATGGATTTGGTTAGTTATGGTAAAGGAATTCTTTGTTTTTATTTTCTGTTGTTGCTGTTGTACACTGATGCCGTTATGTTTTGGTGGTCATGAGCTGTTTGCTCGTGGACAATGGATCATCAGTCACTACACATCCATCACACTGCCAACAATGACCTTCTCTGACTGGAACCATTTCAAATCTTCATTATTGCTGAACATCGGTGGAACACCTTTAATTTAATTAAGTTTGATGAGTAAACAATCAACTCTCATCTAACCAACCTATATGGGGGGAGGGGTGGGTCGGAAAAGTCAGTAAGTCGGGTAATCGAGTTACAGTATTGTACCAAAAATTGAAAATACTACGTATGTATGAAAATGATAAATGTACGACAATTTTAAAATTTTGGTATGAAGGTGATCAGCTGTGCAAGTGACCAGTGTAGGCGCCGCATTTGTTATTGTTTGGTGGTTGGTTGATGCTCTTCCAACATTCACTTAGAATCCAATTATTATTTATTTGAGCCCTAGAACAATGAGTGCTAAATGTGCATTATGCACCACTACTGGCTGTGGTCACAGAAGGAAGAGGAAAAGTGTTACATTAGAAGTTAAATTAGATGTGGTAAAGATATTTGAAGGACAGTGAGCTGTGGACATAGCAAGAGCAGTCAGCTTGCAGCTTACAACTGTAGGTAAGAACAATTTGTGGGTCAGTTATTGCTGGGGTCAGTTATTCGAGGGTTTACTGTACAGCACTTGTTGAATGTGATTGTATTAATATTATTACCTTAATACAACAGTGGTTTATTAAATTATAAAAATTATTATACCCTGTATTATTAAAATTTAATGCGACAGTTATTGAACAGGTTCAATTTCAAAGTATTCCCCTCTGCTATTATGTATCAGTCAATCAGCCCCAGTGTGGGACTTTTGGTCTTATGATTTTGTAGAGTTATTTCTTGAGTTTGGAAGTGCCATACAAATGCCTGTATGGGCCACATAAGTAGCATAATGGAGGGTTAAAGTGTACCCATGTAGTACTGCTTCAGCACTAACCACACCAAAGGAAATACTGTATTGTATTTATGTTGCTAAAAAATGGGGACAATAATTATTTATGAATATGGAAAAAAAGATAATGTACTCAAGTGTAGAAAATGGAGCAACTTGGGATGTGTGGTGGAGTGGAGCAGGTGGACCGAAGTGGCATCAAGGGAGTGGAGAACACTTGTCCCTGCCGCCCCTTTCACCTTAGTATGTGGATAAATTTCAATCACTGTCACTAGTCTCGTTCTCCTCATCACAAGCCCAAAATTTTGTTAACACTTTTTGCCAAGTTCTTCAAATGTACATACTGGTGCCTTGAATACCTTAGGTTTCAGCTCAGTAGGGGGTGAAGGAGGGGGGGGGGAGTGAGCCCTCGAGTTTGAAGTACAATGAATAGACAAGGTGGTCTGTGTGTTACTGAGGAAGCCTTTGTCTCATGTTCTCTAGGCCTATAGTTGCCAGATGGTACTTTCCTAAAGTTCATTAGCCTCTGTTTAGGTGCCAAACTGGAGGCACATAATATAAAAATGCAATCATGGCAGTAATGCTGAAGAAAACCGGTGTATCAAGACAACACATTATGGAAAAAAAAAATTGCACATTTGTCATGTATTGTATTATGAAAATGCAACTCTTCTTGGTTCTTTTATTTTTCAATTAAGCAACATGTACAGTTCTCCCCAAAAAGTATCATTAGCCATGGGGTCGATCTGATTCGAGGCTCTCCTAGCGATGTTACTAGACCTGTTTCTGAACAGTTGGTAGTTCTACATACGTGACCTTTGAGCATGAATGGGTATAGTAATATCTCCATAAGCCGGAATCCCTCTTAACCAGAACTCTCCAATAGCCAGAATTGAAATTTTCTCAGAAAATTGTTCCCAAAGCTGGAATTATCTTGAAAATTCCGGCTTTAGGAATGATTTTTCGAGGGGCACATTTTCTGAAAATTTTTCCCAGTACCTAGAAAATTCCGGAGATGGGGGAGTTGTTTCCGGGTTTGAGAGATGACAATCGGGTGCATTTTCCGGAAATACCGGGAAAATTTTTCCGGCAACCAGAAAATTCCGGGGATGAGGAATATTTTTCCGGGTTCAGGATATGATGTAATGCGCAATTTTTTGAACTTCCTAAGAAAAATTTCCGTTACCTGGAAAATTCCAGAGATGAGGGATTTTTTTCCAGCTTTGATAGATGATGTAATGCACAATTTCTGGAACTTCCGAGAAAATTTTTGTTACCTGGAAAATTCTGGGGATGAGGGACTTTTTCCACCTTTGAGAGTCATCTCATTACCCAGAAATCTCTCATTCCTGTTAGTGTTCTCCACCAATTGTTTCGGCTAACAGAGGTATACAGCTCCTCCCCGCCTTACAACAGGGTTAGGGACCCAAATCCAGGTCGTAAGTCGAAAATGCTTAAATAATACATAGAAAATTTAAAATGGGTCTCTTTTTCTTATCAGCACCACAAAACTCTCACTTTTAAGCTTGCCAGCCATTTTAAAGTGAATTACAAACGAAAATTTTGTCTGTGTACTGACGTTGGGACTCGAAAATACGCAATTTGACAAAATTTGGGTACGACTGAGGCAGGTCGTAGGTGCGGGTGGTCGTAAGTCAAGTAGGTCGTAAGTCGGGGAGGAGCTGTATATGTTTTCGAATGATGTGAATCCTCCGAGGCTTCAGATCATATATTATATGAATTGGAGTGGATGTCGTAAATGGACATCAATGCCATGCCAGTCATCAAAGGGATCTTACATCGAATGGAGGGAGGAATTATCGGGGGGACATAGCCAAATGTGAAAGGTACTATTATTGCTCTTTATAATGAGGATATACGTAATTCTAGCTAGCATGGCGAACCCACACAGTATCAGGATGGGTTAGGCGCCATGAAACAAATGGTGACATACCGATTTGAAAGCTTACAGGTACAGTATTTCGGTGTTAAACCAATGCAATTTACAAATCAATAATATGGCAGATCCAAAGTAGACCGATATATTGTATATTGCTGCAGATGTTCACTAATATCAAGTACTATTTACTTAATCACTCTATATAAATCAGACACATTGTGAACATGAGTAGGCATATTGTGCAACTCGGTATGAATGAAACTCGGTTACCGTAATGGTGAAATGTTCATTTTGAAGTCTGTTTCAGTTATGATGTTCCAAAACTCTTCCACTTAATATATATTTCAGTGTCATTGTAATCATCAGTCCTAGTTCACACATGTAATACAAGGACGACTCCTTTCCCCATCTCTAACTGTTGCTGATATAGTGAGCAGACATACCAACTGATGATGATGCACTGGGGATCATATCAAAGCATTTCATCTAGTGTTTCCAATTTTAATGACGGAAAATCTAGCGATACGTTTTTGGGGAAGTGTACATTTCACACAATACAAAGATGGAAATGTTTTACATAATCTTCTTTTTAACATAAAGGTATTATTTATGAGCACCCAAATATGAAATTATTGGCTCATTTTAAAGAGTATGTCACTGAAGAAACTTGGCACAGATATATCCTGGAGCCAGTACAGTACTTGCCAACCATGCATAACAGAAACATGACCGACCGCCCAAGCGGCTAACGAGCCAACCAGTGTCAGAGGATAGAAGTAAAAGTAGGATATCAGTTATGTACTCAATATTGTACAGTACAGTACTAAACTTTGAATCAGTACAATACAAAAAGTCCAATTAATAAAAAATAAATCATGCATAAATTAATACAAATGTAAAGTACTGTAATTGCTTTTAACTAGTGCTAAATGAACAATTTAGTTCTTCTGCACTGAAAATTCAATTAGATACTTTGCATCATCATCATTTCAACAACAAACTAGATAATACATGTACGGTATGTGTCCGCCAAAGTCAAACACGAAATACATTACCAAACACCTTCAATCAATTGGCTAAATAATTAAGAGCACACTGATCATCAACGCCTTTTAATTTTTGGGAAGACCAATATCCCTGCTTAGTTTGAAGACAAATTTTCCACCACACTCGGTGATGGCAACACACGAAGGATTGGCCACATACTGTACACAGCATCATACAGTTCCGTATTCCACAAACTTGTTTTGGGATATATAGAGCTGAAACTGATACCAATAAACTAGAAAGTCAATTAACAAATTCAATATATATTACCGCATCTGAATATTAAAATCTTATTAATATCGAACACAGAAAGTAATACTGTATAGTACCTGCATAGCAAAATAAATTTATGGTTCATCAGGAAGACGATTTATCAGCTCTTGGGGTCAAAAGGGTCAATGACAGTTTATATACAAATCCATCTTAAATACTGTGCCCAAAGACAGTACTGTACAGTAATGCAAAAATTATGAAAATCTGCAGAACAATAAATCAGTTATTGTGTTGACCATAACTTGTGTCAAGGGAATGAGATTCTTTACATAATGCCTGCAGCTGTCCTTCCCTCACAAAGGTTTCATCATTTTCACAATGTCCCAAGAAAGCTACTCAAAATAGAATGCTTTCAATGATTTGCTAAAGCACACAATGTAAATGAAGATAAAACCAAATGTAGTATTTTATTACAATAAAACCTATATTGCACTAATTGTTTTCCATCTTGGTTGTAAGTATGTGTCAAATACTGTACTGTGATAACCAGTCAAAAAAAATATATTGAATTCTTGTAATCATCTTACTTAACACAAAACTACTCACTGGGTCTTTACAACTAATTATAACAGGAAATTGATATAGTATACTGTACATTTTGTTGTATACTGATAAAATTTTCCATCACCACAGCCAATAGAAGCCAAAACAAATGACTCCATATTTGATCTACAAACATATTGATTTTCCTAATTATCAATACCGTAAATTGAGAACATCGTACTTGTACGTCAGTGATTATTTAAAATCTAAACTATAACTTAATATTACACAATGTCTATGGAATGACTCCCAATTCACAATTACCTATTTGTGTTCTTCCCTCACCTTTTATTAACCTTAAAAGCTCCTAACTTCAATAGTAATGGAGCAGGTCAGAGTTCCAAATGCCTCTGAAGGATCCTCATCTCAAGATCTTCGTGCAGTTTCTCCACTTTGCGCTGTTGTTTAGTAAGCCGTTCTTGCATGATACGTTGACCTTCTGTAGATTGCAGCTTCTCTATGTCGTCACCAGCACGTTCTTGCAGTACACTCATCTGGCCCGTCATGTGTCTTACTTTCAACAGACGATGCTCGTAGTGTTTCAGCTCAGTCTGTAAAGGAAGGAACATTCTTAATACTATACTGTACTGTACTACATACAGTATAATGTTTGATGTACAGTTGTTGTAAAGTTGACAATCTTTATAAAAATAAAAACCAGTGGGGAAGGGAAATACATTTATCGTAATGAGTAAGAAAAATTTCAAATTGTAAACCTTCAATGAAATTGAATTACAGCATACAGTATAAACTTTTAAGAATATGTGCCAGGATCACTTAGTGAATATAAAATCCTTCCAATTCAAAGCTGGAATAATGAAGTGACTTAGTATACCAATTATGGATTTTGAGATAAAGCATCAAAATTATACAGTATACCATTACAGTAGTAGACCAATACTTTTTTCTATTATTATTATCAGATATTGAGGCATTTGATATTGCATATGTGTGCAAATCCTTGGCAAATGTCTGCCGACCCAATGTTTGCTCGTGGAAACTTTTTTTTATTTGTCTCATGTGGTAATAGGCTTCCTCAAAATCACTCTGGTATCCTGAGAACTTCCAACCATCCATACTGAGGGGCACCTGGGTTACCTGTTATCCTAACTGTGCTTCCACCATCTGTGGTAGAAGCACAGTTTTGCTCATGGGCTTAATAAAGTAGAATCAACAAGAACACATGAGTGGTCATCTCCATAGTGTAGTGGCCTGTGTCAAATTTGGCAACTTGTAGATGCTGTATGGACACTTCAGCCATAACTCTCAAGTGAACAGGATCCAGTGAGTAATCAGCAGTGGCGTGTTTTCCTGAGCAAGGTAAGCATTGCTTACCCTATAAAAATTCTTCCCTTCAAAATTAAAATATCTCTTTGTTTAGATAATATATTATTTAATTGTATTTAGCATTCTGAATTTTTGTGATTTATGTCTCAGTGAATTTAAACCAATTGTAACAGGAGTCCAAACTTTAGAAACTTGCAAGACAGGAGCTTTTGCCGTTCAAAAATCTGTCCCTCGAATACACAACATTCAATTTGCAGTGGCCTCTTCTGCCCTCTTTCAGGGTAAAATGATATGCCACTGCCAGATGTAGGATGGAAACTATTAATTCAAATTATACAGTATTATCCCACCTTTTCCCAAATTGATGTAAAGAGGATTCAGATCAATCTAATATACTGTGAAAACCATTCTCATGTTGGAACCCCCCCATAGTATTTGTTGTCCACACTGAGTAGAATTCCTTTTGCTAGAGATCAGGGCAACGAAAGCACATTCTCCAGTTGCCATTTATATCAGACATATTTAGCTACAAAATAATTGTTATTTCCTGAGACCTCCCATTATTTAACTCAATGAAACCTGTCAAAAATTGTAACCTACAGTAAAAATATCCGGTAGTTGTCCAAGTAAAAAAAAAAGTAAAAAGTAAAATCAACCTCAGACATTGTTAGATAAAAGCTACCCATACCTAGAGCTCAGAACAATGTCAACATATAATGGCAGGATGGTTTTGTCAGAAACATTGACTTTGCACTGACACAAACATACCTAATTCAATATCACTGCACACACACAGGTATGACTTTAATTGCCCCCACACATGGAAATGCTAATTTTGTATTAGTCAAAGTATGTGCAAACTTTGGTGCTTTTTATCAAATATTGGACTATGTGGTGCTGCACTAGAACTCTTATGTAATTAAAGACGACAAGACTTTACTGATGACTCAAAAGGAAAATACAAAGCCTACCGGTAGCTATTACGAATTATTAAAAGGTAATGTGAAATCCATGTAGCAATGGTATATGGACTGAGAACAGCATGAGTAAGTATACAAAAATCCTTAACATCAGTAATAATGGTCATAAAACAATGAGTTTCTTCACCGTCGACTGAGATCATAAAGATCTATTTCTCTAAACAACTAAAGTCATTTCACAACATTAATATTTCAAATCTGTAACAAAGAAATTGATACAACAACTTACATGTAATGACTCTAGTTCCTCCTGTGTAAAGTCACCACGGACCGCTAGTTTCCACAACCCAGCAACCTTGGGCTCGACGAAGTCTTTACTGTCAGGCCCAGTTGTAGATATCTTGTGCAGACGATCATAGCCTTCCTTCAGTTCTCTGTGCTTCTCTCTGATAAAAGTGAGAATTCATGAACTATCTGAATTAGTGTACACCACAATATTGTACATCTTACTGCAAACCATTTTTCATGCAATGTAAACCACCCTATCTTGAACTTGTGTTAATGAATTACATGTACAGCGAGATTTTATGCTTCAATAATTATTTTGCAGCTGTTTCCTGAAATGTCATTTTTAATTCTAAGCCAAACAGCTGATGCCATGTCTCCAACAATATTTCCCATCTTAGACATAACAGTAGTCCCTCAAATTACATATCATGTAAAGTAGAAATGTATAAGGTAAATAATTAACAATACTGTACTGGAAAATAGTTATCAGTTTCAAAAAGAATTGTCTTTAATCTTAAACAACTAACTTCCTCACACACACACACACACAGCCTCACACTTGCTCCCACTTCCTGACAAGTACCATAAAATACCTGAACAAAACACACTGTATATTAGACAGTGGGGACAGTTCTAACCAGTGTTTCATTAACTCCATACAGTATTTGTGGGATACGTTCACAATTCATTCACCACCTTGAAGTTTATCTCGCATGTCTACGGTGTCATCAGTCAGAGCTTTTCTGACATTCTTTGCACTTTTTGCATAACTAACACTATCATTTTCCTTCTGCGAGACTTAATAGAATAAAACCCAGCACAAACTGTCAGAGTGACTTCCCCTCTCATCTACTCTCATGCTAATGACATGCAAGGGATTATGTATCACAGGGATGCATGGAAGTCCTTGGTTAGCGGCAATGTCCAGTACAGTATGTTACTGTACTATGCTTTAGAGGTTCTGACAAATCAACTGTTATTGCAAACATTTATCCCTGTATTATATCAAACCTATTTCATAATTTCTAAACATGATTAGATTTCAAATATAATATATACTAAATAGAACCATATTATGGTCATTAACAACTTAGGAGTGACGACAACCAAAGAACATGGAGAAACTTGTCACTGTATACTGTACTATGTTTCCCAAAAGAAGACATAACTATTGTCATGTACAGTACTCTTCTGTTCATGAAGCTGAATCAATGAAGACCTTTCATGTGCTATTATCATCAGCTTATTAGAATAATTTGTTACAGTTTTCAACACAATTTGATTACTAATGACATACAGTCTAGCAAATTCATACACCTACAACTTTAAAATTAAAATATATTTCTGACTGTTTCAACAACCAAGTTACCTTTTACATGTTCCCTTCTTCCTCTTTATCTACAATCTGCACACAACACACTGCTTCCACCCCACGTACCTTATGGTATTGGTGGAACCTTGTCCTGGTTTCTCTGTTAACACCATATCTTGTAAGCTGTCAAAACGCTTTATGTCATTTTCTAGATGGTCTGTAAGAAATGAAGTAAAATCTATTAGCTTTCCTTAGCTCCTACATACATCAGGTGGAATTGACAAAGGTAAAAGAGGTTTGCTCAAGTTAAGTGTTAAAACAAGTGAGGAACGAAGGTATGACCTACACATACAAAAAAGAAAAGGCAAAGGGAAAGGGGGGAAGGGAAAAAGAGAAGGAAAAGATGGAGACTGTTGTGGAAGGACAGAGTGAAGGTGGGAGAGGAGACTCAGTGTGATGGTGACTGGAGGTGTACCAATAGAAAAGACTTTACTTATCAAATATGAGGGTCCAAAATCCAATACTTACTCTGATCCTGTTCCAACTTGACAGAGGCAGTGTTGATGAGAGAATAATAATCATCAACTTTGTCTTGGTGGTGTTGGAACTCTTCCTTAAGAGCTTTTAACTCTGGCTCTGCAAAGTAAAAGCACAGTACATACAGGTATTAGGAAATAACTGCAAGCTCACCTACTGTAATATTATATTCATACAGAAACATAATAATAATTAAAATTTTATTATCAACAGTACTGTTACACACTATTAGTTCAAAGTATTACTGTACCAGTAAATCCTGAACTTTCTGCCTTTTCCCATAACCTGTTGAGCTTCTTATCCTTGAAAATGGCTTTAAGGATCTTCTGGTCAGTCACCTCATTCAAGTAAGCTTCCTTGCTAGCTGGTGTCCTGTTGTCTCGAAGGTCATCACTCAAGTTGTATCTCACCATTATTCCTGAAAAAAAGGTACAAAATCATTGTACAGTACTGTAATTGTACAAAATATATTTTTTCCCCACCGTATAATCTATATCATTATGCGTGCCAAAAAATGTGCTTAGCAAAGCATAGACCGTAAATCACTACAGTATTTCAAATTCCCAGCAAGAGCACCTGCAATCTAATCTGACAAACACTATTTCTTGTAAGGTACTGTACTGTACTAAAGGTGTCAAAGACATAATTGAATTTGGATTTTGTAGACACTATCAGGGAGTTTGAGTCCAACAGGTGTACAGTGCTGCACCTCAAGTACGCGGATTTTAACCGCGCGGAACCCAACTACGCGCATCAATGCCATTCAACCCAAATTCCAAGGTATGCGGGGGTCCCAAGTACGTGGGCATAAATTTTCCTGTGGCACAGCCAAGTGAAGGAAGAAAGGAGAGAGAGAGAGAGAGCAGAGGAGCTGGCTGTTGATTGGCTGAATGGCCACTACCAACCAATAATAGAAGAGGACATCACCAAGACACTACAGCGGCTTGCGTTTTCCTGTATTTTGTAGGTGTTTTTGGCTGCAACAGCTACCATGGCTACCCCACCTACTGCTGTTGGGACTCCAGCACCTGACCAGAAGAGTGAAGCTGATGACCCTGGCATGCAACAAAGATATAATAGACTGGCTGGACAATGGCAAGAAAGTGTTTATTCTTCTTATTCACGGGTTTATTTCTGTTTTATTATTCACCTTATATAACTAAGGCACACATATTTAACTGAGGGTAACTTTTATAGAGGTTATGTGCAGAAAAAGTGCTTTGAAAGACCAGTTTTGGGTTCATAGTGTTTATCTGGAGGGGTCTCTGAACCAACTGGTTTTTTCCATTAGTTTATAGTTCCCAAGTACAGTACAGGCCACTCTGTTGGGACCAAATACCCAGGTACTTGGGGGGAGCACTGTAGTACTGTATGTCAGAATAGATTAACAAACCTCGAAGTTTCTTTCGCAGTTCTGCCTCTTTTAATCCTTCTTTGTCACCACCATCTGTCTTGAGCTTCTTTAGAGTCATTTCTTCCTTGTCTTGCATCTTCAGTTCTGATTGAAGTAAATTCAGTTTGGGCTCAGCCAGTCGCTGGTGGGGAAAACAAAATTTAATATCAAACAGCCTGACTTTGTGCTGGGCTCATAAAGGTCTGAAATTGTCAGGCATTCTTGGTGCACATATTGTCCATTTCAGGAGGTAAGAAAGGTAATGTATGTGAACACCGTGACCACCAGAATATGAGGAAACAATTAATATCGTTAATACTATGGTTACTCCTTCAAGTATCTAATGGTTGTACAACACTTAACTGGTTAGCTTACCTTGAGGGCTTTATCCCATAGCAAATTTAGTTTCGCCATCCTAAATTGGTTCCTTTCCAAGTACACATTTTTATTTGCCTCTTTGGAATATTTATTACCAAAGACTGACACCGAGAATAAACAGATCAACAGTGCCACTAACAACCCCATTGATGTCATTATGGACTAAAATTTAGGTTGTTAACTGCTGAAATGGTGATACCAGAGTCGTTTGGCTGTTACCACTCCCTTATACGCCCCTACACGACTAATTTAAAGCCACAGTCCGGGGTTTTCCACACCAGTTTCCTTCACCACAAACAGTAACTCACTAACACTTCTGAGGAGACCGAGCCAAGGAAGCCCAAGCCGAAGCCAGCAATAAAGTGGTGGATTTTCAGGTAAAGTGAATTACTATTAATTGTTTTAACTAAATAAATAACCATTTTGTTACTGTCACTATTAGGTTTTTTTTAATACTCATATATTATCATTGAAACTACTAACTTACGTTCATACAAGAAATAAATATTCGTTGGATTCATGAATTGTTTATATTATAGTTATTAAATTTATATTAATAAATTCATAATTATATTCATTAAATAAACAACAAGACTTTGGTTTATAATTTGTTTTAGGTTGTGGTCAAGACACACAGTGGCCTCAGAACATGGCGGCCGAGTACGGGCGGACCGTGTGGGATGGGCGGGACAAAGAGGCCAATAACGGACATGAAGAACTCCTGGTGTTTGGATATTCGTGTAAATTATTCCGTGATAATGAAAAGGCATTGTATCTTGATAAGGGAAAGCATCTTATTCCCTGGATGGGTGATAGTAAACTGATGGTTGACAGGTAAGTTTATACCTTGATGGTGAATTATTTTATACTTTATTCCCCAGATATATGATCTTAGTTGACCACCTCTGTATAACATATTTGATGCATTATGTTCAGAAATGATTTTGTTTATTAAATTGTTTGGATATTTTGTGTGAGTTGATACAAGTGTCTCTGGGAGCTGTGGTGGCTGCCACTCGTCCTAACATTACTGTCCTATGAAGCTTCCAACAAATTTTAGTAGGTTGGGTTAGGTGTTGTTACCTATTTGAGTAAATTTGTATTGTCACACTGTTCACTTTTAGTAAGTAAAAAATATATTTTTCTAGTGTATTTGTGTGTGTTTAGACCGAGTATGACCTTCATTTTTGGCGGAAATTAGCCGGGTTTTTTTTGTTTTTTTTTCGTTTGACGTTTTCCGAAAAAAAGTGGCCAAGCGACTAAAAAATAAAAAAAAAACACTAGAAAAACAAAAACCTAACCTAACCTAACCTAACCTAACCGACTCTCACCATATGATGGAATCACCTATTTCTTACCTTATTGGCCTGGTTCTTGTTCGTCCTTGCATTCTGGGATTCTTACACAACTCCACATATGTTGGTCTTTGCCATATTTACATTCAGTCTTGCTCTTAGTACACTTTACTGAGGTTGGAAGAACACCATGTAATCGAAAAAATGCTCTAGTTTCTACGTTTTTTTTCCCTAAAACTCGCAATCAGCTCCATATACTTTAAGTGACATCCATCGCAGACTTCCATGGTCGGAACTGAACTTCAATTTCAAAATATGAGAGACCCAAAATAAAACTCGATTTTGATTGGGCCAAATATACTCTGAATTAAACCCAAAACCATTTTAATTGGTTCCAAAAGCAAAAATGCTTTTGATTGGTTGCGTGATGTGTACACATGCGCGTCATGATTTATGAAGGAGATGCGAGAGACACGCAGTGTTGGGTGAGAGGCAGACGATAATGGCAGGAGGTTGATGGAAGAAAATAGAATTTTTTGGGGAAAATCTATCTCCGTTATTATACATTTCCGCCGGTAATGTAATAGATGAAAATTATCTTATAAATAGACGTCTTATTCGAATATGATAATAGATTAGTGGTAGGAATGAACGGTGTGTAAACGCAATAATACCCCTATTTGTACTGGTTATGTCTGGGTTTATGTTTCAAATAGGCGGATGACCGAAATGATAATCTTACCCAATAAATAATACCCTGTACTTATTTAGGTGACTTACTTCTGGTTTTTCTGGACGCAGGTGATTGTTACTTGTTTAAATCTACAGCTTCGGTGGGAAAGCCTTAATTAATTGGAATATATATTATTTAAGGATATGAACATTACTGTACATGGAAATAAGCAATAGTAATACTTTGTGTTATCCTGGTAAATATTCGGTACAGGTGCCAGGCACGGAAACTACTACATAAATAGGTTTTTTTTATAGTATTTCATTGTTTCTTACGAATTTGACCTTCATATGTGCCGGAAAACAGTAGTTGTAGATCTAATGGTAATATTTCACTTGTTGCCACTAAGCGAATCTCGGGAATTCTCCAGATTGGTTTTTGTCGATTTCAAGAGGTAATAAAGCACTAAATTCAACAGTGAAATGTCTTACAGCAGAAAGGCTGGATGGTTCCATTCATGTTTTTTTCTAAATGATAATAGAAGATACCTTAATTAGTTTAGATTAGGTTAGTTTTGTAGGTTTGATTGGGTATGGTTGGTTTAATTCGTATATTATAAATTATATTTTATTGATAGCCAGTAGCTCCAATTTGCCTGATTGGTTCCCTTTTTAGATGTTTTTTTATAGCTAGATCAGTGGTTCCCTAACACGGGGTCGCATAGAGGTCATGGGGTCCCATAAAGCTCATAGTCCAGGTGTCAAGGACAAAAGGACGTGGCCAACAGGCGCCGTCTCGTTAAGTCGGGACCATAAATTATGGTCAAGGGAATAATGCAGTTACTCTCCTTGTGTCACGTCAGGTCAGTCCAGGGAAGGTGAACGCTGATGACACGTTATGCAGCAGAAAATGGCAACAAATTTCAATGATAGATTCCCTGAGTTTTCTTACGGAATCTTTGGCTTTTGTTCAGTTTCTGTTTAAGACAGATGTAAAACAGTGTGGCTCTTTTGTCCTTAAAATAGCAGAATTACAGGCGGACAATGAGGCAAGGGAGATTTTTGCCATCTATGATGACATATCAATGTTTTGGGTTATTTATCAAATTGACATTCAGCGGTTAAAAATCAAACTATCGAGATTGTGATACAATTTGGAAGTTCCTATGTCTGTGAGGAAGCTTTCCTGTCAATGGTATTTATAAAAAAAATTATCACCGTAACCGTATATCAAACTTAAACTTGGAGAATTGTCTATGTTGTTTAATCACATAATTATACCCCAAGTTAGCAGAAAATTTATTAAATGATAATACACAGACGTTATATATGAATTATGACTGATGTAACTTGTATTGAAAATTAATTTGATGATGCACACAAGTTGTATACAAAATACTGTACGTACAGTATGACAGAGATGTAACTAAGAAAATTGTATGTTAGGTTGCTTAACCATGTAATTATATCCCCAGGTATAGAACATTAAATGATCATATATGACAGAGTTGTAGCCTATTTCTGTCAGTGTTTACTTTTAGACTTCTCAATTTGTGATACATTTTCCTTACTTGTTTTGAGAGTAAAATACGTTTATCAATATGTCAGTCTTTACTCTAAGGATCTTCATATATACAGCATACTGTATGTGATGATTTGGGGTCGTACTGGATAGGCGTCAGTACTTGACGGGGTCGCACTGGAAAATGCTTGGAACCCCTGAGCTAGATGATGTAAATACTAGTATTTGAGGTTAAGCAAGAGCAGGAATTTCTTTTATGTAAGTTATATATTGTAGCATTATCTGGTAAATCATTCTTTTGATTAATGAATTGCTGCCAAAATGTTTACTAATTTGAAAGGTTGTAATGCTTTATGAATCATGTAGTGTTTTCTGGCTGTTCTGTCAACTATAGTACATGTAGGTCCATCACTTGCTGTTAAGTACAGTAAAGTAAATTAATAGTGTTTTTCCTTGCTTTGTTAATGGACTTGCATTTTATGCATTTAAAGAATGGTATTTTAGGTAAAATCCTGAAGACAGGAAACTATTACCAAGATGACCTTAGAATACTGTACACTTGTACTGTACTGTACATACTCTACAATTTTTCTGTGTGTTTTCTGCTACCTGATTTACTTTCTTTGAATTACCTAGAAAGAAAATTTCTAAGTAACATTTCAAAAGAAGCAAACCATTATTAATATGAAGTTCTTAGAACTATTCCCCGTACCATCCCTGTATGTACTGTGTTGTTTCGGAAGCTTGAAGCAAATAGGCCACTGCTAACTTTTCCATGTTCCCAAACCTAATTTGCATTCTGTGCTTTAAAACAAACTGAGCTAAGCTATTACCCTCTCATTTGTTGACTGGGGTGTTGAAGGGAATGTGTCCAAACTAAGTTATTTATGCATATCAGACTTGCCTTTTTTTTAGGCAAATCGTGGTGGAGTAAAGAAAAATACTTTACAGGATATGAAATCTTGTTTTAAATGTTCACGTGAAGAGATGGTGTGTGGTATTGTACAGGTAATTAATGAGCTACCATCCATGCTCTTCAGGTATGATGTACGTGGTGCCTTGTATGACCTAACGGGAGCTGAGTCAGGGGGTGGAGTAGACCGATGGGAGGGCCTGACTGAAGAGGAGCGAGCAGAAGAAGAAAGGTGTGATCATGAGCGCTATTTAGCTCTCTATCATGATGAATTACAGTACCAGACTAATCAAGGTGAGTTTAATTTCTGGTCAAAAAAGCACTTGTATTTCAAGGGGTGAAATACTGTACAGTACTGTACTTACAATAATAAAGATATGAGGATGACTGTCAGTTTTAAACTTTGGATTCTTAATTAAATAATTTACATTGTTTAGTTTTTAGCTTGAACCTCCCCGAAAAATATGTTATTGAACTGAATAATGAGTGCTTTTTTAAACAGTTACAGTAAGTTTGTGCCTCTATGGTTTTTGGGTGATAATGATTTTTATATTGCAAAATACAGACAAAAGTAGTCCTCTAAAATAAAATTGTTTCCTCCAGCAACTGGGTAATATATGGAGTAGGGAAGACAGGACTATTTTCATCACATGAAAGATTAATGTTTCCATTTACAGAACAGATGAAATGTTGCAGATACACATTTCCAATAATGTGACACTGACACACAGGGAAACCCTAAAGAACGTGTAAATATTCTGATGTTGTAGCGTGAGTTTCGCATAGGTACAGTACCCGTTTACCGCAAAACTTATTCTGTACAATTGCTCAGCCAATACTTATTTATGATTACCCTGCTAATGGTGTTAGAGAAGTTTAAGGAATTTTAATTCTTTCTGTTCCATCACAAGTAAATTAGCCTTCAGTTACAATATGAAAGATAGACTAAACTGAGGAGGGTAGCTACAGTCTACAGTACACTGTATGTGAAGGAAAACAATTTGGAAATGTTGGGGACATCATTAGTGTAACAGCAGATATCTCCCTTTGGGTGACAGAAAATCAGATGTACAACAGCCAACTTTATTCTTGGGGTAATGGTGTATATATCTGTGACAAGTACACAAATAGTCCTCAAATACAGTATGTCCTCACTATGTGTTATGTACGTACAGCACATGGAAATAACAGGTGTGGCCTAGCAGAGATAGAATGTCGCATATAATATTCATGAATAAGGAATATGTGGTTAAGGCAGCACGTACCTATAGAAGAGAAACGTAATATTGTACTCTACTGACGTGTATTAAGACAGCACCTTACTGGCAATATATATAATCACAATAATATTTCATGCACTTATGTTCAAGCTTGAAGAGGTAATTGACTGTGTATTGCCAGTGAAACAATGTCTGTACTCACGTATGATTTCTTATGTCCCAGCGTAGATCCCAGTCTTAACACTGATGCCCAGCCAGCCTCTGACCTGCCCCACCAGTGCAACGATAATGCCTGTTGTGCCTCGCATCTTTACCATGTGGGGTGGGAGCTGATATGGAATTTTTTCTTCGTTTAATCCGTGCTACCCCCAGGCTGTAATGCGCTCTAAAGGTATTAGATTATGTGAGGAGCCAGTTACCGTAAAGTGACGTTACCAGTCATTGCAGCTAGTCCTATGACAAACCAACACATTTACCTGTTAGCTGCCAACACCCTGATGAAGGCGAGCTGAAGCTGCTTTAAGCCTATAGGGGCATCGCCGCTTTCTTCCCCGAGACCATGGTGTGTCACGAGGCCTCACTGGCAGCGCATATGGCGGTAACAAATAGATAAATCAGTGACTATAAGACTTAAAAATATATTTGATTTTTCTGAGATTTTACACATTAGTACTAACTTTTACCACTGTCACAGACTTTATTCCTTGTGTAATTTATAAAAGTAGAATATGATGTAATTTAAAATAATGCTCATACATAGCCCTATCTATAGGTTGTTTTTTCCACTCAGATGAGGAAACCAAGCGATTGATGGCAGAACTTGGTTCAGATGTATATGCCTACAGCCAAGTAGGTTTCAACTACGAGGGACAAGTGCCAGTGGGTGAGACACCTGTCCAGATGGAGGAACCTGTGGCAGAACAGCAAGTTCAGATTCAGAATGATGAGCCTGAAGTTAATGACCAGCAAGAGCCAGACACAAGATATTTCCCAGAGGCTGATGAGGACACATTTGTTCCTCCTCCTGAACTTAATGTTCCACATGGAATGGTGGTGGTAAGCAATGACCTTTGTTTTTTTATAAAGATATGTAATAAGAAACAGCTGCTAACTGAAGTGATTCTCTCATGCTGGAGGAAGTTTAGGGGGGTCTCACCCATGAATGTATGGTCTTTTTCTCTAGTAAATGATGACATTGGTGCTTATGATCATCAAAGTCTTTAACCTTTCTTATGAAAATTATAAGATTTTCCTTTAACTTTGTAAAATCCCTCTAAAACTTCATGGACAGGTAGATAATCATAATATATTTCTTTAATTAATATATGTTTTATATTATTTTGGATTATGTTAAAGATGAAAGGTTCTGATTGAAATTATCATGTAATTTTGCAACTTTATTTGAGAGGAGATGTAAAACACTGTTATGGCAAGAAACTTACCAGGATTGAAGTATTTTTTTTTATAAGTGTTTAATCCGGACAAGCACATGTGAGTGATGGGAGTAGGTGGGTCATTTGATTATGGTTATCAGTCATTTTTCTCCTTTGTGTTTCATGCTAATGACATTTTATCCATTTTGGGAGCACAGTTGTGTTTCCCACTATCCCACACACCCCTTTGTTGCATTCACAAAAAGTAAGGTGCCTGTCATGTTGACCACCACATGGTATTGTTCCATTGAGTTGAGGAACTGGGTGGGATTTGTAGAGGTTTATATATAATGTGCTTGTGGTTGACTGTATTCCTTGATTTTGGTGGAAAATTATGACTGGCTGAATTGGTTGTGCCAGGCATATTTGGAGTGACTGTTCTCTTCAAGCAGAAATTTGGTATATTGATTGTTTGTTTGTTTGAAGAATTAAGTGTTTAACTTTTAAGTATAAATATTTGACTATTGTTAAATAGATCTCTCATACTGTAGAAACTGTACATCCCATTTGACATCAAATCATATACCTGTAATGCTATCTTCTTTCCACAGCCTGAAACAGTAAAACAAAACAAAATCATTGTGAAGACTTCCAAGTTCATTGTTACACAAGGAGGTCAGATGGAGATCGTAATTAAGACGAAGCAGGCCGGCAACCCTATGTTCAGCTTCCTGTCATTTGATAATCCTCTTAATGCCTATTATAAACACATGGTGGCAATGATAAAAAATGGCAGGTAAGCTTTTTTTGACCTTTTGCTTCCTCATTCAACACCTCAGCTCAACTGTCTTTTAAATGTACATAGTTACTTAATGATTTGATAATTTGGGTGTGTATGGATTTATTCCTTTTAGTGATGAATCGCCCATATAAGCTTCCAAACGTAATTTTACTTTTTTAATCTTTCTTCCTCTGCTCTTAACTTAGTACTTTGTGTGTGTGTGTATTTGTCTGACACTAGAAGCTTGATTTCTTTCCAGTTGCACAAGTATTTTGTCATTCATTTAGTTGTAAGCTTGTAAATTGTTTTTTGATATTAAAAGTATGAATATTTTCCCCTCTGATTGTTTTTCTGTAGATATCGTCCGGCTGATGAAGTTGAGCAGGTTAAGACTAGAAGAGACAGTGGAGGAAATGGTGGCCAGTACTTGCACCCAAGTCTTTCGGCAGGCATCAAACCAGACCTTGCTCCAGGAACCCCCATCCCAGTTCATAAGCCATCAGCGGACTGTGCATATTCAAAACTAATCCACAAAATAAAAGAAAAACAAAAAAACACGGCAGTTGTAGAGCGCATAGATTCTCCAGCTCCTTCCTCACCTGGGGTGTCTGTTGTAACCTCAACACCTGTTGCCACATCCATTGCCACATCTGTTGCCACACCCATTGCTGCAGCTGTTGCTGCACCTGTTGCCACACCAGCAGTAGAAAGTGTTGATTTGCAAAGTCAGGATAAAAAGAAAATCCAGTCAGATAGCACACCTGTTGGATCACCAAAAGTTACAAGTTTAGTTGACTATCCTTCTTTCAATCGAACCAAAGACTATGATTCTGAAGATGATTTAGATGGAAAACCAGAAAGTTCTATAAGCACTGCAGTAAGCACCAGTGAATATAGCAATATAAAATGGCCTCCACCAGATGTTCAGATGGTGATAGACAAGATGGCAAGCTACATTATCAAGAATGGTGGAGATTTTGAGGCAATGGTGCGAAGCCGAGGTATGTGGCTTCATGAATTGAAGATGATTTATATGGTTGTAAGATGAAATTATAGGTTTGAAATTTTATATTCCAGGTGTAATGGTATTTTGATTGAAGAAATGGCAACTCGGATTTAAATATTTTTCGATGAATTACAAATTGAATTTAAAGAAAGCATGTTAATCTTACTTGTGGAGGTCAGCAGATAAACTCGCTCTTGCAAAAATCACATGGAGATATGCTCTTAAGATTTACCCAAATTGAATTCAGCTCAATACAGGGTATTCCAGCCAGTATATTTTTTAGGCAAGAAACTTATTTAGGCAAAATAGGCCTTTCTTTAAGAGTTGCAAAATAAATCCTTATTTTCTTTTCAGATGATCCTAGATTTAGTTTCCTTAAAAAAGATCATGAATATTATCCATACTACCGCTGCAAGATCCGTCTCTACAGTGAAGTGTATGGTGACATCTTTAAGGAGGGAACAGAGGTGAGTTTGTTTCTTCTAAGGTTGTTGATGACATTAAGTGCTTGTTTATTCCAATTTTCAGATTTCTCATAAGAGCTGTTCATTACTTTTCCTGCTATATTACAGAGTGGCTAGAATCACCTGCAAACAAACACGTACGTTTGCTGTCATTCATCCATTCTTACTACTCCAGTAGGGATGAATGAAGAGTGGGCCTGTATTAGTGTGTTTGCACTTGACTCTGGTCACAGTACATAGAAGTTTCTGTATGATGATATTAATTGTAGGTTTGTTAAATTTAAGGATAAGATTAATTTCATTTTTAAAATATTCGGGACCACCGAGCTCATTGCCATGCTTTTCTGATATTTGTGGTGATCACAGATTGTTTACATTGGATTTATAGTTGACCTGGAATCCCTGTCAAATACTTTGTCTTAAAATTTTTGTCTTGTGTATACGAAATGTGGAGTGTACAAGTTACAACCAAGATTTTTACAAAGCCATTTTTTAATGAAAGCAAGTGTCAGTTTTTATTCATAGTTTTTACATTTACAATAAATAGTCTTCCCTGCATCACCAGAAAAAGATTTGTTCATGAGAAAATATTGATCCATGGTAAAGAAATTTTAAAAGCATGTTTATTATTCTTGGACAATTGGATCCATTTGTGAAGCAATGTCATTTTCACCATTACTGTACTGTATTAGCTTCTTTCAGCATGAGATTATATTCTAATCAATTGTACACTAGTTGTTATCGATTCCCAGTTCAGCAGTGAATTGTAGTTAAAACTTAATACCCCACTAGTGTTGCACTTACGAAAACTGAATGAGGACTAAACAGCTCCCACCAAACAGTCCTAAAAGGCTGTTACCTTTCAAAATGAAAAAGATTTTTTTCCCATCAATGTAGACTCGAGTAATTCAGACTCCCTTGTTTGCTGCCATTCCCTTAAAGTAATGAATGACACAATGCACAATACTAACTCAATATTTTAATTATAAATCAAATGCTTTCTCAAAACACAGCCGGCGCTGGTACAACGTTTGATGGGGACTGTAGATGGCACCCACAAAATGGATTTTTTGGGTGTTAGTGAGCAACAGTGCAATCATGCCCAGCAAAAGGAAAACAATAAAGTACGCTTTACAAAGAATTGTTGTCTGGTTATTAACTGGGTCTTCTTGTTGGCTTGAAACCTTTAACCTTTGCATCGTGTTGACCTGAAAGCAAATATGTATTCAAAACTCATACGTCAGAGGAAAAATATAGTGACAAGGTTCTCAGAATGCATTAGTGACTTTTGATATTACTGTTTACTTTCTTGTTGGCCAATTATCTTCTTATTTCTTGTAGATTGTATATTCATTGCATAACTATCAAGTTACTGTAGCTGTGCTCATGTTGAAGCATTTTGATACCTCTGCCCTATAATGTCTGAGTGATGGAAACTACTTCTCTGACTAATCTGCTCTTCTTAGGTTTCTGTGACTAATACTTTTCTTCTGGTGTGTTACCTTTTGCTTCATTTCTTTAAAGACTCCTAAAGTGAGATTATTTAAGTGTTATTCTACATCTTGTATTCTTGTAGTAAATCTTATATCTGTTACCAATATCCATATCTCTTAAGAGTTCTTTGCCAATCTTTAGTTTGTTAAAATATTCTTTCTAAATGCAAATTACTTTTTTTCTAACCAGAATCTAACCATCATTTCAGCCTTGTGTTAGTCCTGCTTTTGTTTGAGTGCAACTTGTGCCTGAATTTTCTATACTGTATTAACTTCACAAATATTCCTTTGTGTTTAATATATATGAAATTAAACAAACAGGCTTTTGCCGAAATCTCTTGAGATACCATAACGTTCAAACAGCTACCCATTCTTATTTAAATTGTATTAGGGCATGCAGTTGAGTCCAGCACTAAAGGAAATTATACTATATTGTACCTAGGATTTGTGGGAACACTTGAAGTTGGGGTTATATCATCCAAAGATGAACCACACTATCCTAACCTGGAACCCTCTCCTCCGTAGCATTAGGATGGTTTAAGTTAAAATAAGCTGGGGTATCAGCACACACAAGTCCTCCTTCATTCATTGCCATTCAATCACTCAACTGCTGTACTTAGAAGTATTCTTGTATGGGTTTAAGAAATTAATTTTGCTTTACATTTTTTTTTATTTCAAGGCCAGCACAAACCAAGAAAAAAGTTCCTCGGTGAACAGTAATGGGGCAACTGCTGGAGGCGGCAAGAAGGAGAAGCGTAGTAACCCCAAGCAGCCCTCGACCATCAGTTTTTCAATAAAATCTCGGGAACAAGAAGTCAACCTGGACCGCCACTCAACCTTTCCTGTGGAGTCCTCGTCAACTGACGATGAGGATATGGAAGATGAAGAGAGGGAGAGGAGGAGAATAGAAAGAGAAGAAAGAAGAAGAAAGAGAAAATTGAAAGAGAAGGAGGAAAGAGAAAGACGTGAGCGGGAGGAAAAAGAGCGGAAAGAGAAAGAAGAGAGAGAAAAGGTGATGGAAAAGGCAGAGGAATCAACAGATGCTTCGGGTGATAACGAAGATGTTTATGACATTTTTAAATATGGTAAGTGGAAGATTCATCTTAGTTTGTGTTGGTGGGCTTTTCAGGTTCATCTGGATCTTGTAGTGGATGTAAGATGATTATTTATCATTATTTTTATTATTATTGTTGCTACTAATGCAGTATTGTTTGTTTATTATTAATATTATTATATTAATTTGTAATATTGTTATTACTGTATTATAGATTTATATTGCATTATTTTTTTTTTACTAATATTATATTTATATTATTATTGTTGTTATTGTCATTGAAATTTTTATTTTATTATTACACTTGATCTTACATCAGTCCTAAGCGATGGGTGTATTATTCCACCCAGTGTACAGGGTTAAAATCATGGAATCCCCTAGACACTGGTGGCTTGGAGTATTTTGTTGATTACTTTTACATTCCTGTTAAAACTAGAGTCCTAAAAAAGAGTCTTTGGAAACTAGTGATCACTTGGGTCTTTCTGCTAAAGAAATGTTTAATTCAGAGATGAGGAGTATTCCTCTTCATTTTGTTCTTCAGGGGATTTGGGTGATTACAAGAGGTGAAGTGTGCCAATTGCTTTGGAAGTATACATGAATCGGTGGTTAAGCATAAGGTTTTCTGTTAGAATTTTTCACATCCCTAAAATTTCGGGTGAAATATAATTCTAGATTTCATGCAGCTCAATTATTTCATTCCAAATGTTGTGGACAAGAAGTCTGAGGAAGACCTTTGGTTAACCTCATAAAATTTGTGAGTTTTTCCAAGAATGATTCAGAAACCTCATCAGAATATATTTTAAAGCTGTAGTGTTACACCTGGGAAAGGGGATTTTCTTCTCTGATGTAAAGCCCACGTAAGACACAAGGAGCTGAATTCTATCTTGTAAATTAAAAAGTACAGTACAGTACTTTAATGAGAGTATAAGAGCATTATTGGAATGTTTGTTTGCAGCTTCAGTGATGGATTCATAAGTATTTCCCATGCCCTCTTTTAGATTAAAGTGGAGTTAGTGGTGGAACATTGGATGATTGTTGTCATTGTAAGTTCCTTCAGATCATGCAAGATAAACATTTTTTTTGTTAGGACAGATCTGTAAAATCAGTGTTGGTTGGTTAGTTTATTCTTTGGAGGTGGTGACCAAGATAATTTGTTGTCAGCATCTGAGACAGTTACACACAAGTATAAAAGGACCTTTAGCTGCCATTTTCTTCCTAGGAACATGAGAGCCAAGCTCAGGGGGGTAACATCATGCTCTTTGTAGATAACATGTCTGTTGTGGCAGGTGTCCAAGTTGGCTTCATAAAGTCAACACAGAACTTTTTTATTCAATTAATCGAGAAGAATCACAGTTCCAGGGATTACCCGGTACTACAACAGAAGCTCCTGTTGGCCAAGCAGGATATTGTTCCCCCTCCTTCAGCAGTCTCAAAAGTCTTGTCAGGTTCCTCTTCTGAATTTGAGTTGGGGAATTTTTTGCTGTCCATGAGGAGTATTGAAAGTGTTTTTAAAACTTAGTGATGTTATCTAGCAAGGTTTCCTGTGGATTCTCTAAAGACAGTTTTATTCTTGAAGGCCTTTCCAAGTCAAGTAGGTTAGTTGGTTATTATTTTGGTGCCCTAGGTTGTGATTCATAGTCAGAGTGGCGCTTGTAAGATATCTCAAGAGTTAATAGGTAACAGCTGTCACAGCTGGCCTGAACAGCCATGGCTGAAGAATTCGTATGCTGTGCATCATTTGTAAGGGCTCAAATTTTAGGAGAGTATAACTAATCAATGGATTAGTTCCAGCCTCCAGTGTTTCGGTGTTGACTGGGTTACAGTCCCATAGACTTGGTGAGATGATACTCCAGTCACTTAGTCCGGACTTGGTCATAAATTGGGATTTTCAGGATCAATCCCACATTTTTTTATCACATTACGTATAATGATTTTCTTTTATTTTGATCATTTTCATTAATTTTCTATTTTTTGATTAATTTTGCTTATTTATGAATGGCTTTTTGGAAATAGAGGAGAATGTGTCCCTTTAACTTATATTAAAAGTTTATCAAACTTTGTTACAAAATTTTAGTCTATACGAGGACTTACAGAAGTGTACCTACAGTAAATGTACTAGTCCTAGAAAGTGCAGCCAAGATGTTTGGGGTTAAGATGATTAGAAAGAAGAACAAGAGGAGGGAATGGTGTGATGTGAGGCTGATAGTGTTAGTTAAGAGAGAAGGATGTACTGTACTGTACTGTATGAGCACCCATTGAAAGTAAGGAGTGATGAAAGAAAGGAGGAGTACTGTAGTATAGAGAAACTAATAGGGAAGCAAAGAAAATTGTAAAGTATGCATAGTAGTAAATAAAAGATTGGTAGAGGTGTTGCCATAAGTTACTAAAGAGAACAAGACACTGTTTTCTAGAGAACTTGAAAAGGGTGAGAAAGCCTGAGGAACAAATGGAAGTGGTAGTTAAGGGTGAAGGATACACTGATGACAATAGAGGAAGTGTAAAGAAAATAAAAATATTTTGAACAATTACTAAAAAATCATGAGAAAGAGGCAGAGTTGGTTTGTGTGGGATGTGGTGGAATGATGACTATGTAAGTGAGAGAAAATAGAGTTATGAAGGTGAGGTGAGAGACTGTAAATAAGCCTAAGAATGGTGGGTGGATGGAATCACTATGGAAGAATTTTAACCCCTTCACTCTGGGGATGCCACTTTTAGTATTTTATTTGGCTAAGGCCGGACGATTTTATTCAGCAGAGAGGGGACGTACACAAGTAGATAGAAAATGGGAGGAGGAAAATATATGGGATGGGGAAGATGAGTGTATAGATTGTACTTGACAGAAGGAAGGAAGGAAGGAAGGAAGGGTACTGTTTCAAAAGAATGGGAAAGAGCAAATGTTGCTGTCCAAATAAAGGAAAATGTGATAAAATTGAATGCAGTAGTTGTAGGGGCATAGATGTGTTGAGAACATAAAAGGGAAAGTGTATGGTAGGGAATATTGAGAGAATTGATGCAAAAACAAGAAAATTTAAAGAGCGTAAGTTTGATCTTACTCAACCACCTGTCTCGTAAAGATGACAGAGAAGATTGCAAGGGTTACAAGTTCAGCATATTTGCTCTTGGTTACTGCAAGTTAGTTATTGTTGCTACAAATAGTGGAAAAAGAAAATGTACTGGAGAGTATTCTACATCTCTGTTTCATTCCAGCCATTAAACAGAGTACAGTAAGGCTAACACGTGAAGGATAGTCTCCAAGCATTCAGGTCACTTTACATAGTTGCTTATTTTAGTTTGGATAGCCAACAACCGGGCTCAAAAGATTAATTAAAAAAAAAATATTCCACATTGGTATGATCATGAATTTGGTGAAGAGTTGTTCTTTTAATTTTGCTGAGAGAAGATTAAGTTGCTAAATTTGGAATGGGTTATGTGATTTGTAGTACTTAATGAAGTGAGAGTGATTGTAATGGTGTATAAAAAAGTCATTGTTAATGTTGGGTTGTATTGAACTTCAAAATATGTAAGAGAGATCTAATGTGACAGCCACACCAGCATCTAGAGTTCATAAAATCTGTGGAGAAGGTGAGTGACTGATATGTTGAAGGGGCTTATATTTGCAGTCACACCATAAATCCCAGAGGGAAAAAGGCATGAAAGATACACAGAGACCTTGAGGTAGAACTTATTTGTTGACATTATATTGGAATGTGAACCATTGTCAGTTAATATGGGAAGTTTTCTTAACACTTCTCTGCATATCTGGCTGGTAGTACTGTAATTACTTAAGGTGTCAGAAAAGCTTGTTAGTGTGATAATATAATACAGTCTGACTAGGAGAACATGAAGTCCCTCAGAAGTTGATTTCAATGCGACAAGAAAAAGCAGATTTTCAAAAGAGTTTTAAATGAGGAGATGCAGTGGTAGTGTGAAGGAGAGAAATACAAGATGTAAATGATAGAAGAAATGACTGGGTCATGCTTAGGATTAAAAATCAGGTGAAGACTATGGCTAGCTCATCTTTGGTAGAGGAAGAGCACAGTGTGAGGTGGCCTGTAGTGAGAGTAAAATACTAAGAGTGAGTGAAGTAATATTGAGGACATGAGATATATTTTCACTTCCTCTTTGTATTAGTTAAAAAGATGCCAATATGCAGTACTTTACAATGATATATGACAGGCAATAGACATACTGTACAGTGTATGTGAGCCAAGTGATGATGGCATCATCAGAGACTAGTAAAAGTATTTTGAGAGAGACAGTAAAGAGACCTATTTTAATCATTGTACGCTAGACCATGAAGGACAAAACAGATGTCTCACTATAACTGTGATTTAATTATCAGTGTTTACAATTTTTAATTAGTTAAGAATTTGCACACACACACAAAAAATTCATTTGTAAATTCATTCACTAAGTCCTTTAGTGATTGTAGTGATTTGGAATGTACCCTCCAGTGTTGAGGGGGATATTTAGTGGAATTTACATTACCAAGACTTGGAACTGCATAATGGCGAGCTACAGGATGCTACACTGGACTTGGTGAGTATTTGTGGATTTTTATAATATTGTAGAGTTAAGTGACACATCCTAAAATTGGACTGACCACGGGGTGCTTGACCTTTTATAGTAAAGGTTAAAGAAAGTAGCCTACATTTATTATAAACAGACCAAATTATGTTTATTGGTTATACAATACTGTAATGAAGAAATGTTATAAAAGTCAATTAGGAACCACAATAAGTACTTAGAAAGCACTTTTTTCACTTGTAATTTAGTTTGTCCTGTCCTGTGGACAGCCATGTTTTATCTTTGTAAATGAATTAAAATTAATAGTTTTAAATGTAAAGAGTCGAGTTTAAATTTTATTATAAATTGTTATTTTCTAGCATTGTTGCTATTTCTGAGGTCAGTTTGACTTGAATTCACCTTTTATTTTGCACAGTGGATCCATGATGAGTTAGGGAAATCAGAATTACTGCTCTTGATATAAACTGTAATTGAATGGTGTACTTCCAATAGCATTAAAACCAAAGTGAGATTAATGGTACAGTATGCATTTTTAAGGTAAATCTTCAGCTCCATAACAGTCCTTGGATGGTTAATGATGCACCCCTTTAAAGCCCCATTTTCCTGCAGGTCATTCAAACTGTATAACATTGTCTTAGAGGATTTGTTGGACCTATTATCATGTTTTTGTTGGTTTAGATATGCATTTTGAAATAGTAATGCTGTATGTATTACTAGAAAATATATTTGTATCGGCCAATAACATCAGTTCTTTTTTAATATGAAAAATCCCTTTTTGTGTATTTGTCTTCATCTGTTAATGTGTGTAAAATTTATTTCATAGCACAAGAGATGGGTAATGAAGCCGAAACTGCTGAAGCACCCAGTCACAGTGAAAAACACCGTGAAGATGAACGCCCGAGAGATGACAGTGTTGGCTCACACCGAGATGTGTCCCATGGTGTATCACCTGGTCCGTCTCATAACTCGTCCCAGTTCTCTCAACCTGAGAAAAAACAACAGGAGCGAAGAAAGAAAGCAGCCATGTTCCTCTCTCGCCTTAAGAAAAGTGGTGGAGAGGATGAAGTTCCTGCTCAACCAGTTTATGGTAGGACACTTCTTGATTTGGATTTTTTAGATAACCAGGGATTTCTATTTTCTTTTTTAAGTAAAGTAACCTTGCGCTCATGTGGGATAATTACAGGAAGACTGTCATTTCCTGTCCGAGAACACAGTACTATACAGTACCCTTTACTTCTGTATTTTCAAATTGATAAACCATCCACAGTTAATTTATATTGACAAAAATTATTTATATGAAATACTGTACAGTGCTGTACAAGTGATATCCCCTTTAGCTGGAATAACTGCTGCAGAGCTCTTCCGGGAATGAGAGATTTCCGGGTAATGAGACGACTCTGTCAAACCTGAAAGAAAATCTGGGTACTGGGGAAAGTTTCTCGGAATTTTCAGGAAATTGTGTATTATTTTATCCTTGGAATTTGTTCCCAGACCCGAAAAAAACTGGAGTCTCTGGAAGTTTCCAGGATTACACATTACAGTATTTCATCCTCAGAATGTGCTCCCAGACCCGGAAGTTTTCTGAGAAAATGCGTCTGATTTTCAACTTCGGAAACTCGTTCAAAGACTTGGAATTGAGAGAGTTTTTCTGGAAAAAAAATCCAAGCCAATTTCAATTCCAGGTATTGGAGAGTTCCGGCTAACAGAGATATTACCACAGTACTGTACTTTTATATTTAAGGCTTAAGAGGGGAGGGGGAGAACGAATAAAAGCTGCATTATTTTCCTTATACAAAAAGGACAGGAAGGAGACAGAAGTCAAATGCTGTGTAAGGGAACAATTAAAAGGTATAATTTTGTAGCCAATAAATTATTATTACTGCTCATAACCAACTTGCAGGAATGTGGCCCAAGTTTTATGTAGGCCAAGATGCTTACTTTTCACTACAGTAATCATGTCCTAAGTAGAACTGGTTAAAATTAAATCTCATCCTAGACTGAAATAAGCTTTATGTTCAGAGGCATTATGAAAGGTGTTACAGAGTTACTACAACTCCTGTCAGGCCAGGACCTGCAGGACTTAACAGCCCCACAAATTTGGTTTTCACAACCTCTTGACTTATTTTTTTCAACAGGTCCACAATTGCCACCCGAAATTGCTGCTCAGATGCTTAACTCTGCTTCCCAATCACCACGTTCTTCCTTGGCGAGCACCAGACACTCCACACCGTCAAGATCTCGCTCTCATTCCACCAGTCCTGGCCCTGGAATCCCTATGCCTCCTAGAGAGGAGCCAGCCCCTCCACCACCCCCTCCACCTGCTCAATCTCCCTCACCTCCCAGAGGAACAGAGATACATGAATCAGTCTCTAACATTATCCCCAAAAATAATTGGTAAGTAAATTTTTTTTATGAACTCTTTATTTTATACTTCTTATATTTGGTTTGGATGAACATACATGCATATTATGCATATTTATTCCTTGTATAAAGTATGTGTAATACATCTTAAGTTGCACTGTTTTTTTATGCAAGTTTCAGGCATTTGAACCATTTATCACCAGGTTCTGCACAGTTTTCTGATTTTTTATAAATTTTGGTACACACCATGGCATTAGAGTTGGACTTTCATCCTCATCAACGTATTATGGTTATTTACCACATTTGCATGGGTTACCTGATGGCAGCCATTGGACAATACCAGAACAGGATGTCCCCACTCACCATTGCAAACTTTGGATGCCAGCAGAGAACATGGGATAGGCACAGCTCTGGCAACCCAGTTGTTGTCAAGCATGTTGAAGTAAATTTTTAAGGTTGGATGCCCTTCCTAACACAAGGTGGAAGACACGGTCACAACTCCCTGGCAATTATGACAAAGGTGGACAAGTTGGTTTGGCGAACAAAATATGTAGGTCATGTGAATCACATTTTTTTTTTTACCCCATTTTTCTAGGTCCAGAATTCAGAACTGTAAATGGATATTAAAAAAAGTGGCAATATGTTGTTATAATGCTGGTAGAGGCCAGCAAATGAGTATCGTTACTTATATCTGTACTTTTATATCAGAATGTCACATGACTTTTTAATTTAGGATTGGTGTAAGATACACAGTGAAAGTGTTAGGAGATTTACAGGTAAGAGTGGCTGAGGAGATTTACAGGTAAGAGTGGCTGGTGTAGTAGTGGAAGAAATTTGGGGTAAATGTTGAATGGGACTGGATGGATAGTGGGAAATATTTGGTAAAAAAAAGTAATGAAAGTCTTAAATATGCTTGAAGGTGTGATGGGCAGACAATATAATGTAGATGGCTGCTAACCCTTTGAGGAGGGTGATGGCAACCCACTGGTTAGATTAATATCGAATATTAAAAAATAAAATAAAAATCCTAAAAACATAGTTATCTTGCCATAGACTTCAGATTTATGCTGTCAAACATGAGTAAATAAAGAAACCTCTAAACCAATGTCAAGAGTTACATAAGCTGACACAGGGCTTGTGAATGCTACCTCACCACCACCAGCATATTCCTCATCCTTCTCACCCAAATTCCCTTAAGATTCACTAGAATCACCTTCTTCATTTATATTACTGTCACTATGCTGAGGTCATTCTAGTTTCCTGAGTCAAATATAATGGCATCAGTTTCCTCCTGTGTGGGGTGCTGCACACAAGTGGATACGGCACGTCTTGACTCGCCCAATGGTCCAGCCAATAATGATGGGTGAGAGGCCTACACTGCCTTGTTGCAGTTGCCAGAAGGCTCCACAAAGATGCTCAACAAAAATAAAGCGTGTGAAATTTAAATGGGGCCCAGGACATGTCAAATGTGTTGGAACCCTCAATGCCACACCTATCACAGGATATATCGGAAAAGGATTGAGCTACAAGAGTTTGAGCTGAATATTAAAAAAGAAAAAAATGGATCCATAATTGGAGACTTTAATGTGATACTAGTAAGCTTAATTCTTTCATCGCTAAGCACTCCCGTGCTGGTGCACTCTTCCAGCTCAGCAGTATCTTACTCTGAGAGGACCCCTCCTGAAAGCAGAAACAGTGGACCGGCCCTATCAACCACCTAAGTTCCTCCCACTATCCTCGTGGGCTGGCAGAGGCATCTCCAAGAGTGTAATTTGGGTCTAGATCTACCCAATGTTTACTAAAATGGAAAACCCATTCATGTTACCGATGCAACCTGCGCTGAAAGACAGGGGGGGTTAGAGTTTTAATAGAAGAAAGTCCTAATTTCCTGCCTTCATAGATTTGCCAATCAAACATAGGATGACTCTGTAAGACTGCAGCATAGGATTTACTGTATGACTTATCGGTAATACAAGGATAAAGCTATATATTGTGGTAGATTTATGGGGGGATACAAAAAAAAAATTGTGATCCACAGGAAATTAACGATGAATTCAGAATGATGGCCCAGCCCTCTTACTCACTTGACTAGCCTTTGAGTGAATTTTTTTATTGAATAAATGAAATAACAGGTTGCTGTTTGGAGTCTGACAAAGAATTCAATTATCCATTAACGGATATGCTCAGCACATTGTAATAGGTAAAAAAAAATCGCCTCTGGGTACCAGGTTCGATCTGAGGCCACCACAGTTGGTAGTCAGGCAGCTTACCCACTGGACCATGATGGACTTCAAAACTAACCCACCTTAACTCTTTTTTGGGGGGTATAACCCAACTGGGCACATGTCATCGACCCACAACAGGGCTGAGGGGGCGTAAAAATGAGAGTAAAAAGAAATTAAAATTAGTAAAGAAAAAGATTATATTAATCTAAGCCAGGAAGATGCCGGAAAACCAACTTTTTGAAGTGAGACAGATTGTAAGAGTACGGAAACACAGAAGAGAGCAGAGCATTCCACAGTTTAGCTGTGTGAGGAAAGAAGGATGTCTATACAGCAACGGGTTATTCTAGTGTGACTAACGTCCACAGAGAAATGGTGGGCACCGCTGGCAAGATGAGTGTTACGAGCCCACGGCCTTGCCGGCGGTACACGGATGCCAAATCCACCAAACATTGCCCGTTTAAGTACCTGTACTTGTAGCTTAAGGTTTCCCCGCCTACCATTGTGGGCCTGGAGAGTTGGGGTAGCCCGCCTACACCCAGGTCATAGGGTACTGTAGTTAGTGTTTCATGATGAAATCAAGTGATTAGACCGGTTCATCATAAAGGAAATGGAATACTTTGAATAATTACTTTTTCTCACATTTCCCTTTCTTTTCATACCATGTCTTACTCCTTAGAAACAATCTTTGTGTATTGGTGGACAAAGGATTTAATATAACATCACTCATGTGAATCTGTAAAGAGAAGCTATAGTACCTTTTTTAGTTCACAGTTTCACTTTGTAACTTGAAATCCTGAGATAACCAGAATTTGTGTTAATCTCTTTCTGATTTTAAATCATAAAAAAAAAGAAATAATAATTTATTTTTTCTTCCATCTCAGGGCCTCCATTCCAGAGCCCCCAGTTGGTACAGAGATTGGTGAGCGATCTAAAGCAACAAGTCTGAAAGAACCAACTGTTTTGTCAGGTATGTATCCATGTGATATGTTACACTACATTTTCCTCAGGACTGGTGTGCCTCTAGGGTCACTTAATACTCAGCAAGACAGGAGGGAGAAAACTTCTTGAACTTATTTAACAAGAGTGCCTGTTCTTACCTGCCAAATGACAGTCTGATTTCAAGAAGGTTTTTTCCTCACTTAATCACTCTCAGTATGATCTTGCTGAAGAGCATTTTCAACAATTTTAAGACTTAAAATTTTGAATTTTTTTACAGTTTATCTGCAGCAAAATATACCACCCAAATTTGTATTGTTATACAAGTTTTGATTTTCATATAGCAAGCACTTAATCCTTGTGTTCTGTGGTGACTTGCTGCAGGTAAACATTTCATGGGACAAGTGTCCCTCATATGCTGCAGTTATCTATGGTCTTTTTGACTTGTTGCAGATGTGTTGCAGTGGCTCTCTGCTGTTGATATTTCACCGTGGGCAGCCGTGCAGGTGTAGGTACGGATCGCCAACAGAGAACTGCATTTATACTTCCAGTGACTTGTTGCAGCAAAATTAGCTGCTCAGTGCTCTAGTTGTTACAAAGGGTTTATCCCTGTATTATTACAGGCAGTGGCATTATTTGGATCTTTTAGAGGGGCTGTAGGACTTTCGAGAGATCCAGCTTGGTTTTCCTTGGCTCTTCAGTGTCATAATCGAGAACATTGATAACAGGAATCGTAATAACAATGACTGTGACTGAGTAATGAAGGGGTAATGTCCTGTCAATCCTAGACCCCTCCTCCCATTCCTACCCATCTCTTCCTTTTATCATGTCAGTGTTCAGGTTCCTTGGGGTCGTCACCATGTGTTTCTTTCTGCCGGGTAAGTGCAGGTAAGTAAGTCCCTAGTCTGATAGAATGAATGACAGTTTTTCAATATATTGAGGACAAGGAGTTGATCTCTCAAAAGACCATGTACTTTCTTAATGTTTTCTTGTAGTTACTACAGTACTACTTTAGGTAAGGCTACTGCAGTTAGAAACTTTTTGTTTTATTTAGTCTTGCAACAGTTATCCAGCGCATACAAATTGGTCTCTTGAGAATGCCTCAAATATGGATGATTGGTTTGCTACAAAGACTACTAAATAAATTTTGTACAATATTTGCTGCTTCAAGTGTGTGATTATCAGGTTTATACATGTCTGGGTCATAGGAAAACACCAGTGGTGAATGAAAAATGCTTTTCTAGAATGTTGTTTTATTTTAGAATAAGTTGTAACAACAGGGAGTTTATTTAGTTGTCTGTTCACAGGAACCAGTGAGGAGGGACGAAGAAGTGAAAGTTTGGAAAGCAGAAGGAGTAAATCCCGGCCACTAGAAGTGCCTCACCGGGAAAAGTAAGAACTTTTCTCTGAACTGGAAACTAATGGGGAATGTTGCAAGATAAAGCAGAATGTGACAGGAAAGGGCTAGAACAACAAGTAGAAATATCCACATGTTTTCACTCATATCCTCAACTTGCAAATGCCATATACAAAGTGCATTTGTAGCATTGACATTAATTCACAGCATCAAATTACATTTTACTGTCTTTGCAATGTCGACTTATTAGGTTCACTCATGTTACCACTGTTTGTGATTCTACCATTCTTCCTACTTTATTTAATGTAATTTTCCAAGACCTCACTAATTCATCAATACTACTTAATTTTACTATGGTCAATGTTCTACTCATTCTCTTACCTTCTGAATGGTTGTCATAAATCTTTCTAAACACACTCGCCCGTTTACTTTGTATGCCCATGCCATCATTATACACGCGTCCATTTGCCTGCCAGAGACCTTTTGATCCCACAAATTCTTACACATTCATTCCCCTAATTCTTATCAACTTCTCGAATCATGCATAATGCCTCTCTATTTATTCATATCTGCTACTCATTCTATCACTACTCTGATATACAGGAGTCCAATATCCATATATAAGAACTGGTACAAGCATTTCCTCGAGTCATCTTCCTTTTATGAACTCAGGCTCAATTTGTCAAGTCCGTCTAAAACACTTCCAGCCCTTTGTTAATATCACTATCACTGTTAAGAAAAATATATATACATTTTACATTGTAGAGTTTTACTTTTGCTGTTTTTGGTGTTTGATCCATCATCTTTGTGATTTAATTGTTTTCTATTTACTTCATATACAGTAAAGTATTCATATATAATTTCATTAACTACTTTTTCAGTTTTAATGGGACTGAATATGGCATTTCACGGAATCTTCCTTTCTTTTCCCTCACAGAACAAGAAGTCGTAAAAAACAGCGCCATGGACGGTCAGAAAGCTGTTCCCCAAGTACCCGACGAGATCGGAAGAAGCGAAAGAGGTCAAGGTCAAGGTCTCGTAGGCACAAGAAACGCCGCTCACGATCTAGGTCTCCCAAGTCTCATGGGTATGTATGCATTCCAGAAACTGCTGTATACATCTAGGTGACTCCCTATGTTTGTGTGAAATAGTATGCAAAGAAATATTTAGGGACCAAATTATTCTTTGTATTTATATGATGTTGCTTTTGGGATTTATGTGAGGTGACTGTTTGGATATACTGTAGATATGTTCAGTTGATAAAAACTTGAGTGTATTCAAAATGTAAACAAAATTGAATCCTCCTATAGTCGATCATCTCACAAGAAGAAACGACGCAAGCATAGTACGCGACACGACCGAGAGCGTGGGGAAAGAAGAAGTAAAAAATCCCGAAGACGCAGCATTTCATCATCCTCGTCAGGTTCATCAGGGCCTTCGTCCTCATCTTCCCAATCATCGTCGCCGTCAGATAATGAAGTTCAAGTGATGTAAGTACAGTAATAAATTTAAGACGAGTGAAATATAATATGGGTATATTTTGATGTCATTTGTGTGGTTGGATGTATAAAATGGGAGCTGTAGCCACCTGGCTTTTGCAGCAACCATAAGTGCTTTGGTAACATTTTCAAGACCTTTAGTTACTGGTAGAGCTTTTGGGAACTAATTACAGTGGTCCCTCGGTTAACGAACGGTTCGATTAATGAAATTTCGGTTAATGAATTGCCTCCCATAAGGATCATCAATTCGGTTAACAAACAAAACTTCGATTCACGAAATCCTTATGAACAACATGTTTTGTTGTGAGCATCAGCTGATCAGCTGATGGGCTCGTCTGCCAATTCAGTAATCTGTTCTATGTTTACATTCATTTCCAGTGATCAAGAAAGTTGTGCTCTTTAACATTTTTGCATTTTTATATTAAAATTATTAGTCATTTTAAAATTTAGTTAGCATATTGATAATATATGCAGTACAGGGAACTAGTGTTTTGGGCGCCAATCAGCCACTTGACTCAGCCACTAGGCGTCAGTTTGGCTTTGTTGACAGTGGAGTGAACATCTATTTTGTTGGTGTCTTGAATATTTTTGCATTTTTACATTGAAATTATTGGTCATTCTGAAATTTAGTTAACATATTGATAATATATAGTGCAGTGTTGATTTAAATAAAATAATCTTGAATTACACCTAGTGAACTTAAAATTTTATTGGTGAAATGACGGCATCAAGCATGGGTCCCCTGAAAGGTGATTTCTCCTCCATCCCCACTTCCTTCTCTTCTCCCTTCTCCTCCACCCCCACTTCTAATTCCCATCATCATCATCAACCAGGAACCTTCTACATACACACCTCAAAGTAAGTGTACTTTACTGCATTTTTTTTTTTTTTTACTTTGTATGTATTTTTCTGTGAGCTGGAACCAATTACCCAATATCCACATTGATACACTGGGTTCGGTTAACGAACGACTCTGTGGAACGAATAGTGTTTGTTAACCGAGGGACCACTATATAGAGGTATATTTCGGGCAACAAAATGGATATGTTTACAAATTCCACTTTGTACTGGGTAACTTCAGTCAGAAGTAGATTTAACATGGAGTAAATGGGAATAGGTTTCAGTCCTTCATTATTCTGTATTTTGCATACACCAAAAAAAAAAAATTGCTGCCAAAAATATATATAGTATCTAATCATATAGCATACATTTTATGTACACAAAATAGCTCTTTCCATCCTCTACGTCACATGATGCCAAGAGTGGGCAACACAGTTCACCCAGGCCTTATTGCCAGAGTTATACCAGTATTTGATTATTTGGGGGGTTACTGTGGATACCACTTTTTTTTTTCTCTCAAGAGTTGGTTTGGCTGGGGAGCTAGAACCACAAATGTTTTCCTTCCTTATTTGGCTAATGTAAAATATTTGAATGATTGGTGTGAATGGAACCAAGATATGGGATGTGAGTTTATTTGAATGCATTCTTGGGTGAGGTGTCCAGGTATGTAATAAAGTGAAGTATGGCGTGGCTGCTGCAGTGGCATAAAAGAGAGGCTGAGTGTGGTTTATGCTTTAGTGTTGTTTTGTGCTTTTGGGGATTTATCCCAATTCATGGTAACTGACACCTTTATTTCCAGGCTGTAAGTCTAGCAGGTATTTAATGTTTTATGAGAGGCTTTGGATGATATGAATTACACAGATGGTTTCATCTTGGAAGAGGGAGAAGATCACTTAAAAGTACAGTACAATAAAATAGCCAAATCATCTAAAACTGTCATGAAGCAGAACCAAATCATGTGTAAATGGCTTTTTTTTTTCTTCTTTTTAATCATCTGAAAAATACAGTGTTTAGGATGGCAAAGGGTTATTAGACAGATGATGATCGCACCACATGTAATGTATCTCACTTTTGTTTGTGTTTCAGAGACTCGCCAGCCCACAGTAAAGGAGGTTCTCGTGCTTCCAGTGTGGTCAGTGTTGGGGCTTCTGATCATTTACATGCCAGGTATGAAGTTTGTATTTCACAGTACTGTATAGGGTGGGTGTTTTTGTTTATTTTTAAGTCAACTAAGAGATCTTGACATCAGCTAGAACTTATTAAATTTTAAAGGTGTTTTATGATTTTCCTCTTTGTGTGTGCGTGAATGCGTGCGTATATGTGTGTGTGTGTGTGTGTGTGAGAGAGAGAGAGAGAGAGAGAGTTGTCCAAAAAATTGTGGCAAAAACCTCATGATACAAAGGTATTTCATCCCAAAATTGAAATCGATTGAGTTTGCGAAGTTATTAAACAAAAATCAATTTTGTGGAGATGGACTATAGCTGTGAAAATTGATTTGATGTAGTTACTAAAATTGGTGAGAAATATATGCCACCATAGTTGCAATTATCAGTATTTTCCCCGAGACTGCCCTTGACCAACACAAAGTAGCTGATAGTCTTACTAAAAGAATCATTACCTCCTGTACTTGAGTTAGAGATATGGAATTAAATCATGTGTCTTTTTGTGCAGAATAATAACTTCTACTCTAAGAGTTTGTAACAGACACTAAATAGGACTGCAAGAATTTGTAGAATATTGAAAACCATAGTAAGACATTCAGTATCTAATATCTGTGTATATTTTGTTTTTCAGTTCATCGGTCAACAGAATTGCTGAAGAATGTATATCCCTTCCCCCCACACCCCCCTTGCCACCAGCTCCTCCTCCTCCCATTACTGCTCGTCTTGCTCCTATTGCAGAGGAGAAGGCAGGAAATGGTGATAATTTGCTTGATATGTCAGCAAGTGGAGGAGCACTAAGTGGGGGGGAAGAAGTGAAAGAAGAGAAAAAAGAAGAAAAGAAGCATCAGTTTAACCCCCAGAGTAGTGCAGCCATGGCAAAGATTGCTCTGGTTAGTTGTGATTTATTTATTTTAGTTTAGTAATTTTTTTGCTATCATTCATTTGAGAGCACTTTATCATCTTATCCTTAGAGCCTTACTCTCGTAGGATAATGGCCACAAGAGAAGAACTTCCAGGCTCCTATGCATCCCCCCTACACACATACACACACTAATTTAATCTTTTTTTAATGAAAGTATCGTGTTTTGTACATATTTCAAATATAAATGTTCTAAGTCAGATTCTTTGGTCAATGGTCAGCTCCCCAAAAATTGTGATTAAAGTACCAGTAAAGTAACTGACCATATTTTAAGCCAATGGCCCTCAGGTTATTGACATTCCAAGAAATGTTGAATTTGTTTTGTACCCATTCATGACCATAGGAGGCAAAAATCTCAACCAAGTTAAAAAATTATTTAAACAATGTGTATACACTATATACATGCTCTGAGTCGATTGTACAGGGGTATTAGAGTTTGATATTTTGTAATGACTAATGTTTTTAATTTCTTTTACTTTCAGGGTTTGCGTGCCAAGGTTCATGCTCTGTTGGATAAGGAGAGCAAATTGTGAAGTTCATCAGGTATCTGCAGTTTATAGTATAGTATTGTGTCCAGACTCAATGTGATATAGAATAAATTTCATAACAGATTACATTTCTTAACAGTTGTTCATTCAAAATGCAGTACTTGACTAAAAATGAAGGATTTGATAATTGATGCCAGTGTATGTTTTTTGGTATTCTATCAGTTGTAATGACAGTGTCATTATTATTATGTTTATGTATATAATTTTTTCACTCCACATCAGTAAGTGTACCATCACTGGTTAGCAAGGTTGAGGAGACTACAGCCTCGGAGAAGAGAATTAAAGGTCATTAATAAAAAAATGGAGATAATATTCCTTGAATGATTACTCCTTTTATCTTCTGTCACCTCATCATTTATTTCTCCCAACTGTTTCTCAGTGTGGGGACAAAGTTTTGTGTACAGATATCCCTCGTTATACGAATGGGTTGGGTTTCTTGAAAATAATTTGTATAGGGAATATTTGTAACAATATTAAATAATATAACATATGGAAGAAAATGGGATTTGGTTTCCCAATGACAAGAAAACCTCAATATTATACTTAGAGAAAATTATTAATTTTTTTTTGTTGCTCACAAGCAACAAAAAAAACCTACCCAATTATTGTAGTTTAGTAACTAACTACAGTACAAGAAGACCCCTAATGTATACCTAAAAAAAAATGAAATAAGTTCACAAATGACAAAAAATCTACCCAACTACTGTAAATTAATATCTAATTACTGTAATTTAGCCATTAAGAAATTAATTAAATATAAATTTAGTACATTACCGTAAGGGACCGTGGGTTTTGTATTGAGAGAAAGTGGTATAAATGAATATTCTTTGAGCGGACATTCATATAGCGAGGGATACCTGTGTATACTATATTGGAGATTTGTTTTCATGTGCAGTCATGGCTGAGTGTGCTTGTGTATGTACATGTGATTTCTTATTGTCCCAACTGCCAAGAATTGGCATCTTTGGCCAAAACTAATATGCACAGTAGCTAAAACCACTATCTGTGCATACTTTGTGGGAAACAATATTAGACCATGGACGATAAATTTTGGTATATGAGAGCTGTCACTAGTCTCTCACAAGAGTAAGGATGAAAATTTCTCTTGTCACTTAAGCCACAGAAGCTACATTTCCTTTTCTGTACTGAGGATAGACAGGGCTGGATTCAGGAGTGGGCAAAGTGGGCAGCTGCCCAGGGGCCTCCACATATTACAATATTTTATTTATTTGTTTATTCATTCGGATTATTTTTATTTTCATTCTTTAAAATTCATGGGAATTTGTACACTTATCAATAAATATACAGTTAATTAAAAATTTCTCAATGTTCTAATTTCCTCAATATAACTGCATATGGCTTCAAAATTCTCCAAAGAAGTGTTCAAATTTCTAAATTTTCTTGGGGGGGGGGGCTTACAGCGCCCCCCGGAATTCCCAGATGATTTGGCTCACTTCACTCGTCACCCCGCCCTCTTGGGTAGTTATAATGAGGGGGGCCTCCACAAAGAGGCTGCCCATGGGCCTCCACAGGTCTAAATCTGGCCATGAGGATAGATAGGTAACGGTGATTGAGTGGATGCTTTACTAGCAGCTCAAGGAACACTGGTAGAGAAAATGCTCATGACTGTAGTTTTTCTTCCTTGGCACAGACTTACACATCAGAAATTAGAGGATTAATCTCGGCCAAAAGTAAACCAGCATGGATTCGAGAATTTTTTTGGTCATTATAAGGGCTGATTAACCATATCTTTCATATGTTGAGGGTATGGAAGACTGTTTTTCATACACGTGACTTTAAAGATTGTTTCCATATTGGTGCCATTAACAGTGATCACTAGAGTTACTGATTAATTGGAAAGGGTGCTTCTAAATGGGATGTTTGCTAAAGATTTTTGGTGATGTATTGTTTTTAGGGTCGCCCTGATGAATATTCCTTGGTTGATGGGGGCATCAGATGAGGTTGAATAATTATTGAGGTGAGGGTCTTGCCATCCCTTGCTGGCACAAAAGAAGTAGTTATTGCAAAGTGGTAAGGAGGTTGTAGAAAATTGTGAAGGTATCCTTAACAGGTTGATTAAATTGGGTCTGTTTACTTTTTATGGAAATTCCCTAGGATTTATAGGTTGTTTTTGTGTGGGCTTCTGAATATTAAGGAGGATAACAGTTCTTTTTATTTCACCCTGAAGGTTGTCCTGACAAAATAAGGTACAGTATGTGAGTGTTGTCTGGCTACTTGAGTAGACCAACCATACATCTGGACAACTTTTGTGTGAGGGATGCCTTTATTGCTGGGATAGCTAAACTGTTCAAGGTTTGACATTGTTTTCTTCAGGTACAGTACCAGCTGTTGGCCAAGTTGATCAAATCACTGAAGTCTGGAATGGTTTAAATTGTTTCTGGGATCAAATCTTATTTTATTCGCTAATAGAAAAATCATTAATCCAACCTTGCTGAATCTACAAGTTATGTCTATTTATCTCTTTACAGTACTCAGTTACTGTACCTGCATTTTTTTAATGACTTACACTACAACAACCATGGATTCCTTGATTTCCAGTCACTTCGAATCCTTGTGAATCTTTTACATTATAAAAATTAAGTGAAAGTTTAGTCAGAAGTGCCTACTCTCTTGGAAGTGACCTGGCTAAGAAATTCTGAATTATCTGGATTAGCTTTTTCCATTGTATAGTCAGAAGAGCTAGAGGCAAATACTGTACCTGTGAAGGCAGGAGGGAAAACAATCATATGTACCCTGTACTTGGAGGTCACACAATACAATATATTGATCATGAAAATTGGTATTGTTGAGAAGAATGTAAGCTACTGTTGGCTGCACTGTCACCAGACAATGTAAAATTCAAACTAATCTTATAATTTACATAAGAGAAGCACAGGACAATTCATTAATGGAACTGTAGCGGAATTTTGTAACGAGTAAGTGTGTTATATTTTGTAAGTACGTTATTTTCTCTCTCTGGATGATCATAACTTTACCTCATTAAGCATGCCAGTCCTGTAAATTCTAAATCTAAAAGAAATTTCCAGCTCAGGGTGAAGATTCTGAAGATTTCTGTTCTCTAAGAATATTTGTTATTAATACTTCTTCATGTGAAGGGTGTCAAGAAAACCCACAGCTTATTTTACCTGATGATTAACTACCTTAATGCTACCTTGAGGAGTTATGTTATATGGTTAATCATAAGGTGAACTAATCTAGGGGGTTAATCTTTGGGTGATCTTTTTGTTCTTGGTTGCAGAGTCTTGAGAGACCTTTAGTTTTTGTTTGGGAGAGAATATCTTTACCTAAAAAATTATTTGATTATTTTGTAGGTGTAAAGAAATTACTATACAGTACTGAAAAGCTATTGACGTCTGGATTATTATTATTTTTTTTTTGCATAAATATTTCAGTGTGTAGGAGATTGGCAGAAAAAAAATTGAAGTTTTTTAAATTTTTGACCCCCCTCCCCCCTAAATGTTGGGGTTGAAGGACATTGATATGCAGTGTTTGCATGTGAAAGGAAAATTGGCTTGAATTATAGTCTTTATTTTTGGCAATGGAGTTTTTGTCTTATGCCTGAAAAACTGGCTGATGATTTTTTGATACTGTATATGTTTTATTTTCAGAGATGAAGGTTGTTGGTACCCATGCATGCTGAGAACGGATTAATGGTCTCAATCGTATATCAGTTTTACAGTTTAGGCAAGTTTCAAAAGCTTCATAATTGGTTATGATGGAAATATAGATCCACTTTCTTAATTATTTATTCATTAAGTTATTTTCTTTGGATAACTGTTGCAGCGGTTTTCACAGCACAGTACTGTACAGTAGTACCCGTAGTGGTAGTATTACCAGTAGTAGGAGTAGTACTAGTAGGAGTGAGGAGCTGTAGCATAGAAACTGTAGAAAGATATTTCTAGCATTTCTAGATATTTGGCATTGTTGCCCAATGTTTCCAAGTCCTGCAAATTATGTTTTGAAAAATGCGAAAGATTCTGATTTTCAAAAGAAAATTCTTTTCATCGACAAACAAAAAATTGGGTGTCAGAAGTTAAAAAATAATCTTTCATTATTGGGACCTGACAATCCCTGTGGGATGGAGGCTAGCAAAGAAAAGGGGTCTTTGGGGGCAATGATTTGTTGTGGTATATGGGGTATAATGATTGCCAGACCATATTTCTTTAGAGATACTGAAAATAAAAAAAAATGTATGTAGGTAAAGGCTACAAGAGAAATCTATTCCAAGACTTTTAAATAAGGGAAGTATCTTTACAGAATGGGTTCACTTAGATGGTGCTCATGATCCTTTTGGAGTACATGTGAGGTAATGGTTGAATAAACATTTTCCAGGAAACTGGATCAGTTGTCGTGGACCAAAAAGCCAGCTGCTAAGGTCCTTGTAGCTTTTACCACCGACCTATTACTTACAGAAGCATTTTAAGTTTTATTTATTCTGAAGATTCATGACATCGACTGTCTTCAAAAGAGTTTTACTGAAAATTACAGATGATGCTTGCCATTAAAAAAATAACATCTTTTTATCAAAAGATCATCGATATACTCTACTCTGAGAGAGCTTGTGTGTGTATGTGGATAATTTGGGATGTGATGGTGTGCATGTAGTTTTGTGTGTTAATATGGGGGCAGATAATGGTACATGCCAAATAGTGCCACATGACCAAGTAATGTTAAATGGCTAAGTAGAGCCACATGTCCAGGTAGTGCCACATAATCAGGCCTTAGGTAATCAATCCCACATCCGCGCCAGAGTCCGGTGTGTCCCTGCCATACCCGCCCCGCCCTCTACCACACCGGATCACCCCAACATCGCCGCCCCCTTCCCTCTACACGATGTCTCCCCATCCCCCTTACCTCCTTCACTAACCACTGTCGTCACTACCACCAACACACACATACAGCCATCCCCAACACCACTGCACCCAGTCATCACCATCACCACCATAGTCATTATGCCACCCCTCATCACCACCACCACTAATCATCACAACCACCAGTCATCACCACAGTCACCACCACAAGTCATCATCCCCACCACCAGTCATCATCACCACCCCCTCATCACCACCACCACTACAGTCATCACCACCACCACCATAGTCATTATGCACCCCTCATCACCACCACCACTAATCATCACAACCACCAGTCATCACCACAGTCACCACCACAAGTCATCATCCCCACCACCAGTCATCATCACCACCGGTCATCACCACCACCACCAGTCATCACCACCACCAGTCATCATCCCCACCACCAGTCATCACCACCATCAGTCATCATCCACCACAGTCATCACCTCCACCATCACCAGTCATCATCACCACAAGTCATCATCCCCACAACCAGTCATCACCACCATCAGTCATCATCCCCACCACAGTCATCATCATCCCCACCACCAGTCATCATCACCACCACCAGTCATCATCACCACCACCAGTCATCATCCCACCATAGTCATCACCACCACCATCACCAGTCATCATCACACAAGTCATCACCATCACCAGTCATCACCACCACCAGTCATCATCGCCACCACAAGTCATCACCACCACCAGTCATCATCACCACCACCAGTCATCATCACCACCAGTCATCACCACCACCACCAGTCATCACCACCACCAGTCATCATCCCCACCACCAGTCATCACCACTACCACAACAATCATCATCCCTGCCACCACAGTCATCGCCACCACTACAATAGTCATCGTTACCGACGACAACTACTGTACACCTGCAGCAGTAATGGCAGGTGTTCTGGTGGTGTATTTTGGATAACCTGAACTCTATGCCCCCTAACTTATTTCTCCTGCTGATTCAAAACATCCTTACGCTGCCTGGGGGTTAGGTTAGATAAGGTTGGGTTGGCATTAGATAGTGGTTAGGTTAGCGTTAGATTAGGTTGGTTTAGTGTTAGATGAGGTAGGTTAGTGTTAGATGAGGTTGAGTTAGTGTTAAATAAGGTTGGGTTAGGTCAGGGCTAGTTAGCGATAGATGAGGTTTAGTTAGGTCAGGGCTGGTTAGCGATAGATGAGGTTGAGTTAGGTCAGGGCTAGTTAGCGTTAGATGAGGTCAGCTTAGGTTGACGTTAGATGAGGTTGGGTTATGTTGGGTCTGCTTGGGTTGGCGTTAGATGAGGTTGGGTTCGCACTAGATTAGTGTTAGGGTGGTTAACCCACTGATTATTTTAAAACTCCCCGATACGGCACCTCGAGAGAACTACGGACATCATTTAGCCAGGAGGAATTTTTTATTAAGTTTTACTGGATGAAGACTTTAGTACCAGAAATATGCACAGTGCGAGGAAGGATTTGTGGCCTGAATAACTCTGAGTTTTGGGTCGATTTTTGGCTGACGGAGTCTTCTTTACACGCGAGGGATGTAATTCTAAATTTAACAGCTAAAAGACGATAAGCAAGCGAAGGTAAGGCAAACTGCACCTTCCGTGTACCGATTGACTGTTCAAATCAAAACTAACTCTGACGAACCGACTGACTAATTGGCTGCTTGACAGACACCGATAAAATCAGTTAACGCAACCTCTGATCCATCCTTGGTCACCTTGAACTTGTCTGGTGAAGAAAGGCAAAATGAACGTCCGTGTTCAAAGTAAACACAAACATCTGTATTTATCTTGGTTCTTATAGACAAGAGGAACAACGTCTACAGTTCAAAGTACACAGACAAGTTCCCCCGGCACCCCTGTAATGAGGCGGCCGGCTTTTCCTATGCACCGCCGCGTCCTAAATGACGTTTGATTGACGTCAAGACAAAATAGGTTGCCCTTCCTGACGTGAATGCTGGTTAAGAGGCATTCTGAGAGGGTCATAAGGCCGATATATACCAGAGTGGAGATACAAGAGCGAACCTGTGTAGGCGGAGACGCAGAGAGGGTGGTGTGGAAATCGTTGAAAGGTTTACCGAGATATCTCAAATTAGTGTGCTGATGTTTGTATTTACATAGATTCAGGATGTATCATGTCCTCTATATAATTAGACTTCCAGGATATATTGTAAAGAACGCATCGCGGACAGCACACATGGTGAAGAGTAACTTGCTCATGGAACTGTAAACACAAACATCAAGGGACTTTGTAAACATCCTTAACGGTAGAAGCTTGATGCATTCTCGCCTCTGCAGTTAAAGATACTCAGAGCAGTACTGGCGGGGGCCCGCAGGAGGCAGTAGTCTTTCTGGTGAAGGTAAAGGTAGGTATCCCGTGGCTGCTTCGCCAGGCTAATTCACTCACCGTTCTTGGTTACTTTATTTTAGGCGCCCTCGTCATACCAGCGTTGGCGCAACACCTGCACTAAATGTTTAGAAACATTGTTTAAAAAGTAATGACTCACTGTTAAACTGTAGACACACATCTTGAGTTAGTAATGCAAGTGTATTTAGACCATAATGATGATACACTGTACTTGTGTAAACAGTATGTCCACACAACACACTTTATACATTGTAAAGTATTCAGTCTTGTACCTTAGTTTAATGTTATATACAAATAGATTACGTATTTTTATCTTTTTAGAGTTTAGTCAGCCCAGTTCTCTCTCTTCTTCAACTGACTGGTGGACGTTTTTATTTATATACTCGAGGAAGGTTTGTCCTGAAGTGTGGGTTCACGCAGCCAATGACCTGTTTTGGGTCATCCTTATAGTGCACTTGTCACATGGATCAGAAATATAATTAAGTAAAAAGGAGGAAGACTTAGTTCACCCGAGAGCTACGGGTGACCACTTTTTCCAGCAGACGCCAAAGCTACAACCCGGCATTATTATTATTACCATCTCCTTTAGTGACCATTAAGTACCCCTTAAATTTAATCTTAAAACAATAAATTAACCTTTGTTTAGTGCCTTAGATTGATCATTTTATTTATCTCTCATGCGTTGTGATATACATGTTTCCGGCTTATCCATTCGACCGTCAAACTAATGGCTACCGCTAACACGTAAGCTGCCCAGTGCTCGCGGTCAAGGAGGTAGAAGGTGTGTTATTGTTTTGACCTTGACGGCTTGACCTATGCATGGCACGTCATTAAGTCACAGTCCATTTACGGGTATCAGTACTCCTCGGAACGCCGCTCTAGTTATAATGTTATGTTGGATGAATTGTCTCTCCATCGTCGACATCTAAAACTTTAATTTCTGAGAGGTTTAGCGATCCTTGAACCCTATTATTGTGGAACATAACAAGGGTATATTAAGTCGCACGTATTTCATTTATTTAAGTTATTTTTTGTCTGCTTTATAAAATATTAACTTTTTCCCTCGTGTGCCTGTTATGCACACTTGGCGGCAACACTGGTCGCTCGTGTATTTAATTTGTCAGTCCTATTTATCAAGCATGTGTGACTGTTTGGAATAAGAAAACAACTTACTGATAGCTTTGAATATACTTTAAATACTTTATTCACACACATATGTTTATATTCCATTTATCAGCTTTCATCAAGGTGAAGGCCATACAGGCGTAGAACCTCCGTCCAAAACAACACTACATACTTTAATCTGTGTGGACGTCAAGTACAAGAAAAGGAGTACACAATAGTTTTAGATATTACTTAAATATTTTATTTACACAGAAGTATACTACAGCAACATAGAGAAGGAGAAAGTGTTAGCTAGAGTGGTACACCTTCAGCATAATGGCTACGTCCCTGGAATGTACGAACACTGCGAGGACGACGACGCTACCTCGTTCTATACAGTACTTAACAGACTATATTTTACATAATTCGGATAGCTAAATAAGACTTTTTATTGACATGATACACTTCTAACCATCGTTTGTACATGAGTTAAAATACAAAAAGCTGCATTATATTACATGGAATGAAGCTTTGGAGGGAGGGAGTTGTAGTGGTGAGTGACCCGCCACACGCGAGGGGGCGAATGTGTGGGGCAGGAGCGGTGGGCGGCGTCTCTGGAGACTATCAATTCTTGTCTCGTGGAAACAATGAAAGTCGAAATCTATGTTAAACATGAAACGGTAAAGGAGTTCATGGTAGATTGGGATGACCCTACACCCTTCACATCAGAAGGGACAAATCTAAATTCCAGTGATATAGCGAGGAAACACGAGTGAGTCAATCCCAGTTGAGTCGAGAGGCAAACGATCTCCCTGAAACGGGGAGCCTCACACTTTCTTGAACGCTAAACAACAAAAGCATCGACATTTTCTGGAACAATTTTGTTCATATTTTGATTATTTGTTTAAGAAATATTAAGGTAATCAAGTAGCCACATTTTGTACACAACAGTCACTGCCGCACACTGTGATTAACAGGTAAATGAAACATCATGTGAGGATTAGCAAGCGCTTCTCCTCTACGTCGACAAGACACAAAATACATATATACAAGTTCAAGTCAGCCAGGTACAGCCTCCTGTAGTAATAATTTAATTAAATGGCTGTGGAGACACTGGCAGTAGTCGGGACTCGCGGAGTGGTAACACCATCGGCGCCTCACAGGTGTCATGAAGACGTCTTAACTCAATCAATGTTCTACTCACTTTCTCACTCGGAGTCCATAACCATCAATGTCTCTCACCAAGACAATCTCTCTCTTTCCCAGTTCATTAGTCAGTTTCTCGTAACCATAGTTTTGATAAGACAGATTTTCAATGGGACAGTGTTTCACTATTGCATGCTTTCACTGTTTTTTTTATCTTCTCACCAATTTCTCAAGCACATTGTTTCACACAACTAATCTCTCATTGAAATTGATTTTCACAAACAAAAACAATAATTTCTGAGAGTTTATCAATTAAAAAAAATCCTCATACAATTTCCACAGGGTGTTTCTTTTCTCTTCATCTGGGCTTCACCCGTCAATGTTTCGATTGGCTCCAGCTCGTCAACACAGACCTCGGCTTCCTAGTGTTTATACTCCGATCAACGCCGCCGAGAAGCTGGAGCCTGTCCCGACCTGCAGCGGTCGCCTGGTGACAAATAGAAACATTCTTAACATAATATTATTGTTAACTTTCTAATCTAACGATATAAACTATGATTTTTGTTCTGATGACGTCAAAGTTGATGCGTGGAAAAAGTTAATATAACAAGAAAGAAATTATATTGTTTTGATAAAACTAAGAAAAACAGTAAAAAAAAGTGTCGCAGTGGTGTAAAAATTCACGCAAAAACAATATATTTTCTGAATATATGGACTACAGTCTACTAGTATGAATTTATTCACTGTACCGGAGGAGTGAGGGAGTAGGCTGTTTGGTGACTGATTTTCATAAGATCATCTGAAGTAATAATTTATATTTTGACTTGATACTATTCTCTTTGAGGACGATGGTTTAACCCTTCGAAATAAGCTAAGGGGGGGGGGGGGTAACCTCTATGTAATCGCACATTAAATATTTTTCCAGGAGACCATAACCAAGAATATCCACCACGTGGGAGGAAGAGGACCTACTTGGTGGGGTTGTCGACGGCGACGAGTAGTGTATCGCCCCTCAGGAGGAGGACGTGGCCCGACAACACCGCCGTCACTGAGCCATCACCCAGCGACCCTGACCACTCCAGCCGACGCCTGCACACCACCAGAGATATTACGGGTTATTCAACTTATTCATTACATGCGCGGTCACAAGTCAAGAGGTATTTATGTGTGGGGAAGAAGGGCTTAGGGGAGTTTTATTAAGGGAAATAAACATTGAGATTTGTTTCAACATGTGTGGATCAATATAAACATGACTTTCATATATTTATCAATATATAATGTACAGGGTAATGGAAGTCCCTGTGCACACTGCTATACTTAATAATATATAGTTATTTACCTTGTTCTAATTAAAATAAATAATGTTATTGTAGGTGCACATAAACAATTTCGATCACCTTGTATATTGTGTTGGAACATGTCAGATGAATGTGTTAGAGAAAGACGTGTACTGTACCATGACACAGTGCAGAGTTGGTCATATGTACTGGCGTTAATGCAGTACTCTACTCGATGCATTACCAACTATTATCCCACAAGTACAGTATATGAACATCTGAACCCACGATATAAACACAGATTCATCGAAATAGAATACCCATACTTTAATATAATGTACATCCATTTAATGTCTGGGCATTCTTATTCGACGATTTTATTTATACATTGTTGAAGGGTAAATACTGAGCTTCTCACCTGTCCTTGCTGCAGGTGCTGATACACAGGTAAACACTGACGTCGTTAAGCGCTCTAAGAGGGGTGTTGGGTCTGCCCCGTGGGTGGAGCACCAGGGACGCCGCCACCTGGTAGATGCCTTTCTTGGTGACGGTGAAGCCTCCGTGTTCCACCACCATCCTTCGCTCAAACACCCCCGGCGAGAACGTCTGCACGGAGCACGGAGAGTCTCTTAGTGTGTGTCATGGAAGAATACTTCACACACTTGTACAACATGTTATGATTAGGTAAGTTATTGTGTAGAATATTTGTGTCGATATTGAGGGAATATGTTGGTGCCGGGGGTGTTATTTATGTTTATTTATTTTCACTTCTTGATGCATTTACTAAAGTTATATCTTAGCTGGGGGTGACACTGGGACAATTAGGATAGAACAACTTACGATGGTGAAAGTGTCGACAATAGCAAGTCCTGAGGGCTTGAGGACTAATGGCTGCGGCAGTGTGGCGGTGAAGGCAGCCTTCACCCGCATTTTGTTTGACTTCTGTTGGGCCTCCTCCTCTTCCTCCTCCAGCAGCCCCGTCACATTGAGCGTGTTATTGTTATTCTGCAGGTAGTCTGAGTTGGGGAGAAAACACCGTAAAACAACACATTGTTACGTTTGAGGCTCACAACATACAGTACTGTAAGATACAAATGAGCAAAAATTAATTGTGTAAAAAATGTAATGTCTGGAAAACATTTGCCAAGTGCGAACATAAATCCTAATGCAAATGGTGGCTTTAAAAATATGTTTACGAAAATTAAATATCATAACCAAATGGTGTAATGATTGTTTACATCGTTTACAAAATAAACTTGTAATTGTAACATTTATCACGAAGATTGGAATAAATATTATGGATTATTAAAGAGAAAATTGTGAATAATGAAAAGAATACAACTGACTATGATAATGTTTAAAGGAACTGGTGAGGTGATGATGGTTGAGGACCTCACCTCTGAGAAAGTCCTTTATGTACTCCTCCATCTCCTGCGTGGTGAGGGTGCCCCCGGGAGGTCCTGCGGGCCCCTGAGGTCCCCGACGCCCCGGAGGACCCTCTGGACCCTCCCTCGGTACAGGGATTTGGTTCCTGCGGCCTTTCTTGCGGTTCTTACGTTTGCGGGCCTTCTTCTGCCGTTCAGAGTTACGAATGAAGGCTTTCCAAGTGTCTCGGGGGTCGAGCACCAGTACACGCTGCAGGAGGACCAGGGAGACTAGTTAAGGCGGGATGGGGCGGGGAGGTGTGATAAATATAGGCTGACCTGAAGATTAGACACCCCGGTTTATTTCACCTTAAAAATTAACCGCGTTATTTCAGCCGAAAATGGTAATCTCTACGGCTACCTGGGGGATTAGGTTGAGTTAGGTTATTTGTTTAAGTTAGGTTGTTAGCTTAGGTCAAGTTAGATTAGATTAAGGGGGCATGTTCGTTACAACAAATCCGTATTGAAGGTCAGTCGTACAGTAAGCTACCGCCCGATACTCGATCTGCCGGACACAAACGAGTTAAGTCATCACTGTCCTGTTGTTGTTGTCTCCGGCTACGACACTTGTCCCACGAGGTGTCAACCCACAGTGACCTTGTCGGGGCCGGCTTAGATTACGCTGTGTAATGGAGCCGTGTTAGGTCATAGCGGTACGTGTTTACACTATTAATGATCTTGCGTGGCGGGAACTGTTACAAGGTTAGGATCACCCACCCTACCTTAACCTAAGCTAATCTAATTTAACCTTGTTTAAACTAATTAACATCACCAAATTTAACCAAACCAAACATATCTTCTGAATCTAACCTAACCTAACCCCAAGGTGAAATAAGCTAGGGGTCACCTATATACCACCAGGGTGACGCTCGCTGGCTGGAAGGGGAGGTGTGGGGCGGGGAGGGGGTGGTCAGCTGAGGAAGGTGAAGATAAGGCGAGAATAAAGCATTCACCAGACCTCCGCGGTCAAGTCGAGGTCACTTGGCTACAGATAAGAGCGTAACCTACCTGTGTGACCCCTCCTCCCCTTCCTCTTCTACCTCCTGCTCCTCCTCCTCGTACATCAACATTAGTTTATCTGTTTAAGAAGAAGCGTGGTCGTAGTGTGACCTTTGACCTATCTTCCTCCTTCAGCAGCTGCCCCACTGACATGACCTGACAATTGTCTGGTGCTGGGATAGTCAAAGTTGCTAAATCTGTTGTCTAATGGAAACCCAGACGCCATACAGTGTTACGTCATGGCCTCCTGCGGCGGGAATCTACCACACAGCAAACACGATGTGATGATGAGGGCGCACAGTAGGTGATTTTGGCCACGCTTACAAGACAAATAACCCATTTTGATACTGTTATGAACTCACGACACAACAACTCCACACTACGAGTTGACTACACACCATCTCATATATTAACCTTCTCGTCCGCATAGTTTGTTTTCTTATTTGTACAGAACACTTTTTGGGGGCAGAGTACAGTGACTTGTGGTGGAGAACAGCACGCGGTAAATATCAGAGGGTGTGGACATGTCAACTGCTGATGGACCGCTCCCGCCTGACGCCTGCTGCCCCGACACACCATCAGCACAACTGTTTGTATGAAGGTGGGTGTTCGACATCCACTTTTTACTTGATTTATATTGATGGAATTATTTCTTAAGGATCTATTTAAGGTTAACACTCACAAGAAACAAAGATGATTAAGATTATGATTAAGCGCGTTAAGCTGCACGACAAAAAAAAACTCCCGTGTGATAAAACTTACTGTACGTCCGGCGGGTGAGAGAGTGTGGATTGCGGAACTAAAGCATCTTTATAAAGTAGTCGAAAGGATTAGTGAACTCGTTCCTCTCACCATCACCTGTTGAGCATATCACGGCTCCTTTGGTAACCTCACTCGAGTCACATAACACTATACTCGCGGTGAAAATAATGTATTGTGGTGTTTAAAGGGTTAGATAGTAAATACTGTATATATATATTAATATCAAACAGAGGTTGACTTACAGAATACAACAATTGTGAAGTAGTGACTTACGTCTTCCTCCTGGCTGTCCTTGTACCACATGCTCTGTAGCCCCTGTAGTGTGTTGCTGCCCAGGGCCACGTCCCGCGCCTGTCCGCCCCTCACCATACTCCTTATGCCCAGGCTCGTCCGCACGCCCACAACCACCAGCAGGAGCGAGGCGCCCACTGCATTGCTGCAGAATCGCGACAACCGCATCCTTTTGCTGTATTAACTATGAAGAATATTGTGTCTAGTGCTGTGTGGATACTTGCTGCAGCTGTTGCTGTTGTGAAGACTACTTCTTTTAGTGCTGTGTGGAGAGTTGCTACTGCACCTGCTGTGCAGTCCGTGGCTCTTGGTGCTGTATAAACAACTGCTGCTGTAGGGATTGAAGACAGCTGTAACTGTTGTGAAGACTGCTATGGTTAACGTTGTGTAGCTGCCTGCTGTGCTAAGACAGCCGCTAGAGAAGCGGTTGTTATAGCTGTGTAGCTCCCGGGTCGTGGTGCAGGCAGGTACTGTACTGTGGCGAGAGAAAAATACCGAGTTACCATAAGACACCTGTTAGTCTTTCACAACACAAAGGTTAGAGTTTTATCTCCTCAACAGTTATTACTGGGGTCATGGTGATTACTGCTCCACCTCTCCACTAAGTTATTAATCCAACATCAAATAAAGCTGCTGTGCTATAAGGTACTGCACGTCGTTATGCTGGCGCCCCTGAGGTGTATATAAATAGTAACAATATCTACGAGTCCTTCTGGAGGCGTGGTCACACGGACACAGACACGGACAGATACTTCGGGCCTGCCAGATATGAGAACCGGACGCGGCACCAGAAGTGATCTTAGTTGCGTCAGTGGCGGCGGTGACGGCGGCGGGGAGCCCACATTGTTTGACCTTGATCAGATCTGTAATTTAGTTTTGGTTTGTTTTGGCTTGGTTAGGTTAGGTTAATTTTGATTAGGCTGTGTCCATTGTTTTATACTGTAATGTTTCAACTAAGATTATTTTTAGCATTAGGTCAGTTGTAATATATAGGTTTGATTAAGTTAAGACAGATTAAGATACATTAGGTTAATTAATATTACTTTAAGACGCTACTCCTTTCCCACTATAGAATTTCTGATTAAGGAAGACGAAAGATGAACAGAGACGGAACGAGAATGTACGGATGGGAGGAAACTTTAATAAACAAGAGATGGGAGAGAAGATGAAAGTTGGTGAGAGAACGTTGGATCACCCGAAGATTAGCCCCCCAAGCTTATTTAACCTGATGATCAAATACCCTAACGCAACCTGGGTTTAATTTACGTTAAGTTTGCATTAGGTTAAGTTAGGTTAGCGTTAGGTTAGGTTAAGTTAGTTTATTGTTAGTTTAGTGTTAGGGTGTTTAATCTTCAGGTAAAATAAGCTATGAGCAGCTAATCCACAGGTCATGTAAACACTCAAAAGGAAGTGGACTTGGAGGAGGGGGGGGGGGAGGTGACAACAGACTCTCACTCAGACAAATAATGACGGGCCTCTCCAGACACAAGTTAGTTTCTGGAGAGCTTTCTGGGACGGCGGACGGACTGGGGACGGAAGGGCGGACGACGAGCTTAAAGAGGAGGACCTTGTTATCTAAAGTGTGACGTGTGTAGCCCGGCGCCAGAAGCCATGCCTGGGTCCCACACACACACACATACACCCTTCCTCTTTACCTCTGTTTCAGCGTCCTCTCTGTCCAATACCTCACTACTTCTCTCTCTCTCTCTCTCTCTCTCTCTCTCTCTCTCTCTCTCTATCCTCACAGCCCCACGTACACCTTCCCTGTGGCCCAATCTTGTCACTTAAGTGGCCAGGGGAGGTTATTGCCAGTGTTAAAACAGCCACTCAACACAAGGAGTACAAACACTGAGAATGTTACAACCGCTGAACGATACCGCCTCCTCCGCCCGCCTCCCTCTTCTGACGATTCCCACGCGCATAAGCACACAGTAATCTGTTCTTTGATCACCCAGGATGCTTGACGATCAACGAGTCATTATTCCTGATTATATTGCATTAGTTAACACCTGTAATTTACTGTCTAATAGATTCAACAGGTTAAGAGATAGATCACCTGAAGATTCGCCCCCCAGCTTATTATACCTGTATATTAAACATCTTCACGATACTTGTGGGGTTAGGTTAGGTTTAGAGTAGCGTAGGGTAGATTAGGTTAAGCTTGGTTACTTTACGTTAGGTTAGGTTACGTTAGGTTGGTTAATCTTCAGGTGAAATAAACTGGGGGGCGATTCTTCAGGTGATTCTAAGAACTTATTGTGAGTCATTGAGGAGGATGAGGTGTGTGTGTATGTGTGTTTACCGAAGGAGTCGCTACTGGTGTTGAGGCCGTGAGTGGTGGATGAAGTGTAGCTCCTCATCGATGCGGGATTCGTAAACAAGATTCGTCTCTATTTCAACATCAGTTTCTTTAAGGAGCTGAGGAGGTGACTAATGCCTTGAGAGCAGTGCAGGTTGGGGTGATGAGGGAAGAGTGGGGTGAGGGAGGGTGGGGTGGAGGGAGGGTGGGGTGGGGAGGAGTGGGGTGAGGGAGGGTGGGGTGGAGGGAGTGGGGTGGAGGGAGGAGTGGCGGTGGGGAGTGTAGGGGTGGGGTGAGGAGGTGAGGGAGTGTGAAGGGAGAGGGTGAGGGGAGAGTGGTGGGGTGAGGGTGTCTAGGACTGGAGTTAGGGTGAGGAGTGTTAGGGGCAGGGGGATAAGGGATGAGGAGTGAGGTGTAAGGGATATGGATGAGGAGTGAGGTGTAAGGGATAGGGATGAGGTGAGGTGTAAGGGATAGGGATGAGGGTGAGAGGTAAGGGGCAGAGATGAGGGGTGAGGTGAGAGGTAAGGGGCAGAGATGAGGGGTGAGGAGTGCGAGGTAAGGGGGAGGGATGAGGGTGAGAGGTAAGGGGCAGAGATGAGGGGTGAGGAGTGAGAGGTAAGGGGCAGGGATGAGGGGTGAGGTGTTTGTGTCAGAGGTGGTGGTGGTGGGGGCACACATTAGCCTGTGTGGACTACTCTGGAGGTAATAGCCAACCACTTCATGCTGGCGCCTTCATAATGAATGACGCAAATCTTGGGTGGGCGAGAGAGCACGGGGGAAGTATATCTCTCTCTCTCTCTCTCTCACCCCCACACCACCCTGCTCCCCTCTTTAGTATTCCTCCCCACCTCACCTCCCACCCCTTCTCCTTGCCCCCGTCTTTATTACCTCCTCCCCTGTCTCGCTGTCTGCCCCCCTCCCCCCTCAAGGTCGGGCATGACAGGAATGGAGGCATCACTCCAGGCGGGTGTTTGTTTATTACTCTGAGCCACAACACTTCTGGAATGAATGAGTGTCGCTTGCTTCTTATTAGGGAGGGAGGGAGGTGGGGTTGGGAAGGGAGGCATGGAGGGAAGGGAGGAGTGAGGCAGGAGGGAAGGGAGGGAGACGGGAAAGGAGGGAAGGAGGCGGGGGGGGTGTGTGGCCGCAGTAGTCGACGAAGGCTCTTGATGTGTTCTCGTCTCTGCTACTGACACAATAATGACTTATTTTAATGCTCGCAGATATTTACATTTGAAGGGCGCATTACGATACTCCTTTTTTTTTTAGGATCGCATCGTTTTCGGGTTATTCCAGAATCGCAAAAGTTTTCATATAATATAAAGTTTTTGTTTTTGTTATTTGAAATGTGTAGTTTATTATATAACGCTTGAGAATCGTAAGTTTTTGTTTTACTTTTGAGAATTATGATGTTTATGTTATTTGAGATTCGTGATATTTATTTACGATTGAGGATTGCGGTATACTGTTTATGTTTCAAAATCGCAGTGTTTATGTTTTTTAAGAGTCGAATTATTCATTTTAATTGAGAATTGTAATATTGTTTTTTATTTGAGAGTCACAATATTTATTTTAATTGAGAATCGCAATATTTATGTCATTTGATAATCGCAGAATTGACAGTCCTGAGAGTGGGTCAGTGGCAGTACTTAGGCTGTTCAGGGGCTGCAGTACAGTGAAAGTATGTACCAATTACCAAACTTTGTGTATACAGTATATGTTGTCAAGCCACACTTCAGGTATACTCGAGTATATGCAAGAGTATATTACACAGTTCAAGTATACAGGACTGAGAGGTTCACCACACCGTCCAAAAGTAATGTCTTAAGTTGTGTGTTTTGATACATATCCCGTTTCCTTATGTTCCCGCGTATGAGTCCGTGTGGCGATGGACGTGTTAAACTGTTAGCGTTGAGTCATCTGTAGCTTAAGTCACCAGCGCGAACGTCTTTCAGTTGAATCACTAACAGTAAATGTCTAAAGTTGATTCACTTACATATTACATGTAAATTTGACTCACTAGCAGAGAGGGTCTTAACATGAAGTCACGGTTATATTTTACGTATTAACTTATTGAGTCACTAAAATTGACTCATCGTAACAGTTAAAACACTCATAGTCACAAGGCTGAATATGTGTACTCTTACCAACATCCGAAAAGTTGAGTAACTGAACGATACTCGTCTGGAGGTGAGAAAGTGAGTCAGTGAATGAGAATCGGTGAGTGGGTGAGTGAGTGAGGTCCCACATCCTCATCTGGGCCCGGTGAGGCGCGGAAACCAGATCGTGGTATCAAAGGCGGCACAAAGAGAGTTGAACTAATGTACAGATTGCCTCATATTCTGTCCTCCCCCCCCCCCCCACCTCCACCGTGTGTGTGTGTGTGTGTGTGTGGTAAGGGCGCAATCTGTACAAGACGCATAATAACGCAAATTTATCTGTAATTCGTAGCGTGGGTTCTTATGCTGCGTACATTAAGGAATGAGTGGGCGTAGTGTGGTTACGCCATCTACTTTTTTATTGATGCGTCTCAGTGTGCCATCATCACTTGTCTTTGCGTACGAATATCCCTATACGCATGATTGTACGCAATGTTAAGTCATGTGGCAAGGTGTGTATTCATCTTTATGCGCATGAACAAGCCATCACGCATGAACGTACGCAATTTTTCCTTCAGTCATTGCTAACGTAGGATCATTAAGCTGCCACAGATACCGACACTAACAAGCTCATCCTGTGTGACTCTTCCCCCACCCCCCCGACATGATAAAGTAACAAAAACATGTTTATGTAGTAGAGTGGGCCAGCTTAACACATCACTTCCTTCTCTTTGCGGTGTGGCGGCTCCAGACACAAGCTCGTCCACCATGACTAGTGAAGGTGTAAGAATGCATTTAATTGTTCTTCTTCAGCTAAAAACACAACAATAAAATCTTAAAATACCATAGACTAACAATGAGACGTGGATTATATTTCGTTAGGTTTTGTAAACATTGATATTGTCTCCTAACTGATGTGTTAAGTCAACGTATCTTACAAAACTAGAGTCTCAGGTTAATTTTGATGCCATATTTAAGAGTTATTATTATTATTATTATTAGCTTCAGTCACTTACGAGGAATATTTATCGTACGAACTTGTGAGAATTTGATCTTTGGGCAGCCGTGGGAAAT